TTCTCCAGCACTCGTTCAGACTCTTCCTCGGAATCAGTGAGGCTGGGATACAGTATTTTTGACCTAAGAGCAGCTGTGGTAACGTGGCTTGTGCTTCATTTTTTTTGTAAAGACTGATTGCCAAAGGAGGTTCAGGTCTTTGCAGTTCTGGGTGTCCCTCACCTTCCACATAACATCATCTTCAGAGCTCATGTCAGTTCTCCTGAAAACAGCAGGTAACTCGGGTAGGGATCGGGAAATCAATGTGTGATTTTCCTTCAGCAGGTACTGTCAAGACTAAAAGCAAAGCTCAGAAGTCAGGTGACTGCTGCTGTTCTACCTTTTTTAAAGGTGTAGAAAGACACCAAAACTGCTGGAGTACCTTTCCCTTCTGGAGGAATGTGGTCTAACAGAGAGAACGCCACAGAAGTTATACTCAAATTACATTACGCTTGAAATCCGTTCATAGAGGAACAGGGGGGCAAGGTGAACAAATATTGGTGACTTCTCTTCATTTTTGTGCCACAAGAGAGAGGAATTTGTCGCTGCAGGGGTGAGATGAAAGGCAAGGCTCTCTGATGGGGCTCACTGGATGGGAGCATTTTCCTCCCAAGCCATTCCCTGGTTCTCCTCAGAGGAGCAGGATCTCCTCTCGATTGCTTCAGTCCTGCCGTGTGAGTGCACCATGTGTCCTGCCCTCCTGTCCTTCCTGGTGGTCCCCAAACACACAAGCATCAACCTTCTCAGCCCTTACACAAACTCCCCTGCTGCCTTGCAGGATTAATCGGGGGCGTTCCTGGGGGGTTTGCTAAGTTAAAACTGCTGTTTTGCCAACTGATGCAAGATTTCTGGACACATTTCTCCAGGGAACAGGACTGAAAATTGCTAAATTCATTCTACTCAGTGCTTCAGTAGAACGTAGTGTTACCTATTTTTAAAGAAAAAGCGTCAGTGAAATAAACCCAAAGATGTGTTTAGTGCAGCAAATGAACCCCCCGGCTGCATAAACAGGTCGATAAACGGATTTGTGTTTGCTGACCAGAGGAAAAATCTAATTGCAAGTACTCCACACTCAACGTTTGTGTTGCAGCTAGAGTAATTGTCATAATGAGAAATCCAATTTGCTTTTGTTTGGAGTTTATTCTTCTTTAGGTTTCATTAGAATGGACTGGTGCAATGCACAGGCCTCCCAAGGCTTCGGCTGGTGATGTATTCACAGTTTCTAGGTCTTCAGACTGAGATGTTCTTCATGGATTTCTTCAAATTCTAAATTATCACATTTACTATCTTTTGATATGACTTAAAAAGATTGAAATAATGTTGTTCCTGGTGTTTAGAGGCTCATTTCACCTGGCAGAATCTGCTGCTCTCTCTTGAGCAGCCATCAGTTGGCTGAAGTTTGAACGTATCTGAACAGCGAAACAGCAGCTCTGAGGTTGCCTCAAGTTCCAGATCTGTGCAGTTACTAACAGCAGCTGGAGGAAATAATCTTTTCTGCGCGTCCTGAAGATGTATTTCCAAGAAAAGTATTGTTGTCTCAGTCCTCAAGTGCTTTTCATTTGAGTGCATCTCTTTGGATTTAGGTGAAAAAGAGAGAATGGAGATCCTGGCATGATTGGACCTCCCATGAAGGACAGTATTCAGAAAGGTAGAAGATTTTAGACAGATGAGAAGAAATACCCCAGGAAAACCAGTACGGTTGGAGTCGTGTGAATGTGTTTTCTCCCTTTTGAGTGGAGAAAAGCTGTTTCAAGATATCCAAGTCCTCCCGATTGCTGGGGACAGTAATGAAGATGGTAATAAAAAGTTCTTTATCGTAAAGAACTTTTGGTAAACTTATGGTAAAAAAGATGGTAATAAGAGTTCTTAAAAAGTTACTACTGCAAGGAGAGTAGAATTGTCACCAGCATTTACTGTCACTTTGAGTTAAAGTCAGTAAATTGGATGGACACAGCTTAGATGTCTCGTGAGCATTAGTTGGAGAGCAGAAAATGAGTCCTCTTTGAAGGAAACAGATTGGGGTGAGCTCTGTCTGCTGGGAGGAGGAGAGAAGTGGTGGGAGGTTAATCAGGCGCAGGCAGGTAATGATGAGCTGGTGACTTTTACTGTATGAATAACTGAGAAATGAGTCTAAAAAAAAAAAAAAAGCTATAGAAAACAGTTTTTTGAGGCAATCCTGATTAGAGGCAGAACCTCTTGTCACTGGGTTTCCTTGGGATCTGTCCCTCCATGGAAGAGAGAACCTCCTCCTTCTCTGGGGACATTCCAAACCCACCTGGGCAAGGTCCTGGGCAACCACTCCAGTTGGAGCTGCTTTGGCAGGGAGTTGGACTAGATGATCTCCAGAGGTCCCTTCCAACCCCACGGGATTCTGTGATTCTGTGATTCTGTAACCAGAGATCTGGAGTTTACAATGAAGGTAATGTCTTGACCTGCCAGTTGTCATACAGTATGACCCTGGTATTGTCTGAGGTCATGCTAGTAATGACTAAACCCCGCGAGTTGTTTCATTTCACCATCATTTAACAAAGGGAACACCTAATCCTGGAGCCTGGTAGGAAATCTATAGGCTTGGAATGTGATTTATGTCTCCCCATGGCAGCAGCAGATTTGGCTTTTTGGTTGTGTTTTTATAAATAGCAGAAAGGCCTTAGTTCTCCGAAGGGTCCCAAGTTCTGCAAGAGATCAGTGTCGTCAGTTGCAATTGTAACCTCTGTTATGGTTTTTGCTACACTTGGAAAGAGTTTTTGCTGGTTTATATATCCTCTTTATAAACCAACACTTTAATGAGTCTCTGATCAAAGATTGTCCCTGTTCCATTCTAACAAGTGCCTGATTTTTTTTCTGACTGTTCATTATCAAGATGCGTTTCATCAGCTAAGAAAAAGTGATTTAAGGCAGGTCATGACGAACTAGTTATATTTGAAAGCAGTGGGCAGAAAAGCTTGAATTTTAAGAGATTTTTTTTGTTAACTGATTTTGTTCTTGAAACGTGGAGGTGAGTGGAGTTTGGATGTGGTTTCAAAGCACAGAAGTGGTGTCTGATCTGCAGGAGGAGCCTCTGTTTCCTTCCTGAGCCCTCTGGCTCTAAGGATTTCCATTTCTACCCTGAATGTGTTCAGGAATATTTATAGGGTTTTTTATTCTTGTACAGCTAGTTTCATTCTATCAAGTAGTTCATACCATTTTCACTCTTCCTTCTGCACACCTATTGCCAGTCATCAAATATCCTGCTTCAGCCAGGCTGGGTAAGCCAGGATGTTTTAGTCATTGCTTGTAAAATAAGATTTTCTCTTCCCTGACCATCCTCATAGCCGGTTCCTGACTTTGAGTTCCTATTTCCTGGCCATGCCGTGGACTGTCCATGGTCAGGGGCTGGGAGCCGGGCTGTAACTCCGGGAGCATCCTGCCTTTCATTACAAAATCCTCCCCTGGATTAGCTCTCTTGCTTGGTGCCTTTGAGTCTGTCGAAAGAGAAAATTGCCTTCAGGAACAATAGATTGCAGACCTCAAACGAATCAGGACGTACCTTTTTTAGACCTTTTGCACAAGAAGAGGGTGTTATATCTGGCTGTACGATTGGTGGACCCTGAATTTTAAAATAGCTGGGTTCTTTTCTTCCTTACCAAAGGAAGAAAGGAATGAAAGACACAGAATAGCAGCAGCCTTTTCCTTGTTTAACCACACAGCTTCCACTCACTTACATGTATGTGTTCGTATATGACCTTAATTATTGTATCAAAAACTTTACTTCATTGCTTGAATCTCCTCAGGCTTTCTTTAATGCCGCTTGGGATGTGGCCTCCATGTGCTTCAAAAATTCCGTATTGATGGTTCCAGGAGGAGTGAGACCCCACAACACCCAGTGATTGCAGAAACCTTGCCTGGGTCCATTCGACACTTGGTTTTTTCTGCTAACCACGCTGCCTCCTCCACTCTTCTCTAACAGTGGATTTTGCCATGGTTTTCTTCCTGGCTTTGTCCACAGCCCAACCTTCACCTCATGCTACAGGAGATGTTCTCACTTCTCACATTGATGCGAATACGGTATTTTGGCAGAAATTAAACTCTCTCAGCCCCCCCTCCCAGCAGAGGGGCTCCAGCCCTCCCAGCATCTCCGGGGCCTCCTCTGGCCCCGCTCCAACAGCTCCATGTCCTTCTGCTGTGTGTGGCCCCAGAGCTGGAGGCAGCACTGGGGGGGGTCTCCCCACAGAGGAGCAGAGGGGCAGAATCCCCCCCCTCCATCCCTCTCCCTGCTGGCCACGGGGCTGGGGATGCAGCCCAGGGTGTGGGGGGTTTCTGGGCTCCAGTGCAGGTTGCAGGGGCGTGTGGAGCTTCTCCTCCACCGACACCCCCAAGTCCTTCTCCTCAGGGCTGCTCTCTGTCCATTCTCCACCCAGCCTGGATTTGTGCTTGGGGTGGCCCCCACCCAGTGAAGGACCCTGCACTTGGCCTGGTTGAGCCTCATGAGGTTGGCACAGGTCCACCTCTCCAGCCTGTCTGGGTCCCTCTGGATGGCATCCTGTCCCTCCAAGTATGTTGACCGTCCATCTGTGTGTGTGTGTGTCTACTGACAAGGACGAGACCACAGGAGGATCTGGTGACCAGAGGGACAAGGGAGGTCCCAGCCAGCTGCTGGAGAGATGGTTGAGTCTGAGGGTTGACTGAGACCGCTTGTGTGTGTGTAGGTGTTTGTAGGCTCAAGGCAACTGGGAAGACAGGGATTCAGGGTCAGCTACTGGTCAGGCTGGGCACCTGAGCCCTGCTGCTGGATGGATCCACACTGCGCCTGATGAACACGTAGACCTTTCCCACTAATTCAGCCTCTCCCTCTGACAGTCTCTTGAAGTAATAATTGTGTCTGCTTCTCCTTGGGCAGATACAGCTTGGAAGATCTGAGGACGAAAGAGAGAATGGAAGAAGCAAAATGCCCCGAAGCGCCTTTTGGGGATGGGAGGAATTCATTGGTCTGTGAAGCCATGCTGGGATGTTTCATTCTAATCATCTCTTTTGTGTTTCAGCCCTGGCCCAGTGTGTCCAACCTGGCCAAGGATTTCATCGATCGGCTGCTCACGGTGGACCCCAGTGACAGGATGACGGCCCTCCAGGCCCTGAAGCACCCGTGGGTGGTCAGCATGGCAGCCTCTTCCTCCATGAAGAACCTACACCGTTCCATTTCCCAAAACCTTCTCAAGAGGGCATCTTCCCGCTGCCAGAGCACCAAGTCGGCGCAGTCCACCCGCTCCAGCCGTTCCACCAAATCCAACAAGTCACGGCGGGTTCGGGAGCGGGAGCTGCGGGAGCTCAACCTGCGCTACCAGCAGCAGTACACTGGCTGAGCGCTGGGCTGGGACCTGCCAGGCGTCTTTCCAGATGTCTTCTCTGTCCCTCACCAGGTGAGGAACATCCAGGTTCCTCCCTCCCTCCCTTCCTCCGGGTGTCCCCCCCCTGTGCGGAGGAAAGGGAATGGCGTGGTGGCCATCCCATGGGGTCTCACGCAGGAAACGGGGGAGCCCTCGTGGGCTCAGAGCCTCGAGTAATAACACAAATTCAGGAGCCATGTGGGGAGAAGAGTTCTTTCTGTAGCCCAGGAGCTCGGTTGTTCATAGTTATTTATTAGTTCCAGAGCGTTAAGTTTCTCTCGCTTGCATATGAAAAAAAAAAAAAAGGAAATCACTTTATGGGTATGTACATGCACGTATGTGTGTGCACATACACGTGTGGGTGTGTATATGTATTTAAAAATTATATATACACAAATTTTGAGCTGGTTTAGTCAGACGGTGTGGTGCCTCTGCAGCGAAGCTGGGATGAGTCACAGGCAGTTAGAAGTAGGGTAGCTGTGACTCACCGCCGGCGCGCTGCCCACCCGCTCCTCCTGAAGAGCAGCCAGACAGCACTTTTCCAAGCTGCGAGGTTTCCCCCAAGGGCTGCCATCCTCCTGGTGACGTCAAGGGTGTGCTCAAGCTGTGCGAGGAGCTGCCGGGCAAATTGACAACCGGGCTGAAGCGCTGCGGGCTCGGAGCTGGGATCCGATTCCTTTGATCTGGGCTGGGTGGGTGCTCCTGATGGAGGGGTGGGAAGAGGATTGTTGTCCTGCCGGAAATTCATGGTAGGCAGAGAGATGTCTTTGGCAAGGCAGGTTTTTGGGGAGCACCTTGCTGTCCCCCTTGAATTATCCTTCCCCTATTTGCAGCAAGACCAGTGCCTGCCATCCAGGGTTTGTTGTTCTGATGGCCCTGTCATGTCTGTGATGTATTACGTGTCCTGCACCCTTCAGACCAGCTTTACTGTCCATGTCACTTCACCAGCACTTCGGTTCCATGTATTGCTCCCTGTCTGCAGATTTTACAGGGTTCCCCTGCTTTGTGTGCCTGTCCTGCCTCAGTTCTGCTGTCCCTGCTCTGGAGCAATGAAGTGGTGGGATGAAGAGGTTGGGATGGCCACAAATGGCTCCATAGCATCAGGGTTGGGATAGTGGTGCTACATCTTGAGTAGCAGAGGTCCAGTCTGTGATAATGCCCTGGAGATGTTACACAAACACCTCTGAGCTGGTAGGTGTGACATAAATCCAACGGGAAAAAGCTGCCTTTCGGGTTTCCTTGTGCTGGATGGGTGATGTGGGGGCCTCTTGTGAAGGATCTCTTGGGGAAGGTGAGTCCTGTAGAGCTCAGCTTTGTGCAAGGCTCCTGACATACCTCCCAAATAGAGCAGCAGAGTGGGGCTGATGGCACAGTCTCAGGGTGGATTTGGCCTCTTGTGACAGCAGAGTCAAGATCTGCAGGGAAGGAGAATGCTGTTTTTTTTAAACTTTTCACATGAAAAGCTGTACTTTTTGCTTCTTGCTGTGCACCTGGGAAGTACTTGCTTGTCTCTGAGCTGGAGGTGGAGGCTGTGCAAGCTCAAGGGGCTGGCGAGCAGAACCTTTCCAGCCAGGATTGATGTCTCTGCTGCTGTGTTTCAGTGTCAGCAAGGTTTTAAGTGGTTGGTCGCATCTCCAGGGAGCTCTAACTCTCTGGCCGCAGCCCCTCTTGATCAGCAAACAGCACAGGTTCGGTGGGAGAAGGCTGCATTTTCGGTGCTAAGGTTAAAAAAAAAAGGGAATCTCTAAGGATGTGCCTCCCACCCCAAAGCTGGGATGGCCCATGGCCACTGTGAGCAGAGCTTGATGTGCCCAGGCGTGCGGTGGGGAATATGCCAGAGGAAACCTGAGGACAGCCCGTATGGGTAGCCGGGATGAATTCTAAATCCTTCTAAATGCGTGGTTTTGCATGGTATTTTGCAAACTCCGGGTCCTTTGCAGGCTGCCCTTCCTCTGAGTGCCCATCCTACCCTATCACACACAGTCTTTCTTCCGTCAGCATTAATGGATACCACAGAATGACCAAAATTTGGGTTTTTTCAACTCTGTGGACTGCAAAAAAAAAGTGTTTCTTCTGCTTCTGTTACCTTCTCACATAGTCTTCTCTGGTTTGTTACCATGGCCTATAAACTAGGTGTGATTTCTGACAAAACAGGCAGCTTGCCTTATTTTGCATCGGAAACAGTTCAGTTCCCCTTGTATTACTGCAAACAGCTCTTCAGGAGCAGCAACTGCTCCAAGGTGAGTATCAGCTGGAAAACTGTTCTTCCCCGGTAGGTTGCGAGATGGCAGGACGCGCTCTCAGAGGGCTCTTGGAGGGCTTCTGGTGCTGAGCTGCTGCTCAGAAGAGTCTTCTGCGTGTTTGGGGCATCACACCCAGGCACTGTGATCTCTCTTCCCTCCTGGGTGCTTTCACGTTTATCTTTAAAATAAGTGTTTTGCCCGTGTGAGGAGGTCAAACTGATAAGCTGAGCCACGACCTCTAGAACCCCAGACCCTTTCCTTTAACCAACAGACCATCGAAACGCACAAATGTTGGGCAGATGTCTGCTCACGCTGTTCCTTCGTGCTTTCCCTTGTGGGCAATAAATGAAGGTGGAAAGAAGGTGAGGACCTTGAGCTCTGGTCTGACCAAGCTTGAACAAGAATATTCTCATCTGCGACAATTTTTTGCTTTATTGCTCTTTTCAGCCAATTGGGTTTTCACCAGGAAGTGTTCCAAGCGGCGTGATTCGTAGTGAGTTTGGGGTGGAGACATACTTGGGAAGCAAAATGTTGCTGTATAGGTTCCTGGCACTGCTCTATAGGTTCCTGGTTCAGTTTTCTGCAGTGATGTGCTGCAACCAGGTGGTGAATTGGCAGAAGGGAGAACCCTTCCAATCCCTGAGCAGTACTGGGTGGCCGCAGCCTGCCTCTTTGGGGCATGGAGATGTGCTCCTCAGGCATCCCACCTTTAGGGGATCGCACCAAAGAGGACCAAGTCCATCCCATAAGGGGCTTTGGCTTTTTCTGGAAAAAAGGACCTCAATTCTCTTTAGAAATGCAATATTTTCTTGTTTGCATGGAAAAATCCATGGAAGAATGGGCAGAATCTTTATGGGCTTTCTTTCCATCATTTGATTACAACACTCTTGGCTCGATCCCTTTTCTTTTTCTATATTCAGTATTTGCAGGAACCTAGAGAATAACACGTGTGAGCAGAGGGGAGCCTGGCAGAGTCTCACTGGCAGCTCCTCCCGTGTCCCTTGGAGCCCTTGCTCATATTTCTGCTTTTGCTCTGGCTGGAAAACTGCGATGCTACATAGCAGGGTCCAGCTTAAGGACAGTTCCTTGGGTGCTTTTATCCTTGCAGTTGTGTCACATTTTCAGCTGGCCAGGGGGACAAGCAGTAGGTAGTTCAGGTGCCTTCAATCTCTCCTCTAAGAAGCTCTTCACTGTGAATTATCTTGATCATCTGTCTGTTCCACGGGAGCATCTCAGCTCTCAGTTTATCTTGACTCTCAGGAGTTTACACTTTTCAGGAGTGCCTTATTTGGGGGTTTTAGAAGCTAAAATCTCTGAAGTGTCTTTTTTTCTGTTCAATTTTTAATTCTCTTTCTTTGGCTCTTAATGGTGGTTCTTAATTTGGCTCGTAGGGGTTTTTTGCAAGACTTCCTCTGGTACTGAACGAGCTGGTAGAACGCAGGGAACAAGTGCACGCTCCAGACCATCGCTGAGTTGCCATCTTCCTGTCAGCTGGGGTGCAAATCTCTGTAAAGCACTGCTTTTGTTTTCCCTACTTCTGTTCATACAACGGAAATGAAGCTGGAATGACACCTAGCGGCAGATTTTAGGGTACCCTTGTCCAACTACAGCCCTCTTCTGGTTATGCGCCCACTGTTTCAGGGTGAGATGCTCTTTCCAAAGAGTTTGGTGTGCTGGGTGGTGGTCCTGAACCACATCTGCAGTCCCAGATGTTCGACAGCTCTCTCAGCGCGGCACCGTTTTCTCCTCTACTGTTGCCAAAGAACAGCATTTTTAGCCCAAATAACAGCATTTTTAGCCCACCCCGCTGGAAGGGATGCTCAGTGCTGGGGCAGAGACGTGTGTGGGTCACCCCCTGCAGTGTCTAAAGGAGATGCTCACCAGCACCCTGCTGGGGTAACATCTCGGGGGACACTAGGAGAAAGCAGAAGCTGAAGGTGCTGAGGCTGGAAGCAGTAGGTTTGGGACTTTCTCCCATCATGAGACGCGATGGAGCAGCTCAGGGTGTTGCTTCCCAGCGTGTTCTGTTTCAGGGAAATGCAGTTTTAAGGAGTAAGGGGAATTACCATTGATTGTCTTTTGGAACTTAGCGGTACTGTGTAAAACAATCCCACCCTTTCATCCTGGGAGTCTGGCTGCTCTCCTGGGGGAGAGAATTACGGCTTGAAAGAACGTAGCCTGTTGATTCTTGATTTTTTAAAATTTTTTTTCTTTGAGGATTATTGGAAATTAATGTGAAAAGGTCTTCCAGAAATAACATTAGGTGGTCTACAGACTTGCATCCAGATTTTTGAGTACGTAAAGTACTTTTCTGTGTGTTTTGGTAAAACAGCAATTACTTGTCCGTGTTTGATTGACTTCTCACTCTTCTCAGGTTTCTAAAAATGCAACATGTCAACTCTGTGGTGGTAACCCTTCCCCTTCCTTCAAGCCAGCAGAAGTCTGTGCTGTTTAACACTGAGGTTGTGAGAGCATCCAGATGCTCCTGCCAGTTCCTGGACCGTGTTGTTTTTGGAAACGTACAGCCACTCGTGAGGGAAAGGTGTGGGGCCTTGTGGTGAGAATACACCCAGACAGAAGGGCTCTGACCTGCTGGCTTTGGTGGTTGTGTGGAAACCTGCTGCAGTGTAGGGCTTGCATTACCTGTTTGTTTTGGAAATTATAAACTCTAAAACTCTTTAACTTCAGATATTTTCTTCTTTTAGGTCAGGTGTTTTCTATTCTGGTAATTTACATTCTTTCTTATGCCCAGCTCCATTTCTCAGTCCTGTTTTCTACCCTCCATTTCTCAGTCTTGTTTTCTACCCCCCATTCCTCAGTCCTGTTTTCTGCCGTGGTGTTGGGCTGAAGTACTTAGAGAGTCAACTTTTCCGCGATGCACAAACTGGAATAGGAATGGTGGTTAACTCAGCTACTGGGCAGCAACTCTGGGTTTGGCCCTGCAGGAGCTGTGGTGAGTCCTGGAGCCGGGTAAAAGCATCTGTGTGATGCCCTGCAAGGTGGGAGAAGGCTCCCTCCCTCGCAGGACCCTGCAGTGCAGACTCAGCTCAAGATTATTTTATACAAGCTAGGACAGCCAGTGCGTCGTGGCGGTTACAGGTCTCTTATTAGACTATGTGGGACCATATTCCTCTTTTAAGTGACCATACTAAAGATTTGGAAGGTTTGAGGCAGGGTAAATTAAAATCTCAACTATTTTGACTTAATTTAGTTTTTTTAATGATGCAAAGCAACACAGAGATTGGCTTCCAGAGCCGGGGGGAGGAGGAATCACCCTCTGGAGGAGCTGCAAACTGTTCTCTAGTGGCAACGTGAGCCCTTGGATGTGCAGGGAGGGAGGTCGTGTCCTGGCCTCCTGCCAGCTCGGCTTCATCCTGGAGAACATCACCAAGTGCCTGTGCCCACTCAGTGCCAGATACCCAACTCGCCTGTACCACTCTCGGGAGGTTTTTGGTGCTTTTTCTGACCACTTTCAGCCTGGATTAAGGCGACAGCTCTCGAGTGCTGCGGAGGCAGGTTGCCTACGTGTCAGCTGTGCCCTTACTGAGCTGTCAATTTGCCCCCCCAAAAAAATGTGAAGCAGCAGGGACATGCAGTGGCAACACAGCATCGTGGAGCGTGGTACCTTCCCCCCTCAGTGTCTTCTGGGGTGGGGGGAGCTCTGCCAGCCCGCTGATGTTTTTTCCTTCTCCCGCTGTCCTCTGCTGCGTGGTTCATGCTGTAGATAGATCCCTTGTGCGACGGGCGAGCTACCAGCTGCTGTTGCAGGTATCGTTGCGCTGTGGTTTTCTGCTGAACGTGGAGGAGGCTGGTTAGAAACCAGCAGCTCCAGCCAGCACGCCCAGATGCCGTGATGAGTGTTTCCTGTTGCCTTTCGCTATGGAAAGACACCTCCCGGGAAGCTCTTGGGACCCGGAGGTCTTCCGGCACTTGTGCCGTGGTGTTGGGCTGAAGTACTTAGAGAGTCAACTTTTCCGCGATGCACAAACTGGAATAGGAATGGTGGTTAACTCAGCTACTGGGCAGCAACTCTGGGTTTGGCCCTGCAGGAGCTGTGGTGAGTCCTGGAGCCGGGTAAAAGCATCTGTGTGATGCCCTGCAAGGTGGGAGAAGGCTCCCTCCCTCGCAGGACCCTGCAGTGCAGACTCAGCTCAAGATTATTTTATACAAGCTAGGACAGCCAGTGCGTCGTGGCGGTTACAGGTCTCTTATTAGACTATGTGGGACCATATTCCTCTTTTAAGTGACCATACTAAAGATTTGGAAGGTTTGAGGCAGGGTAAATTAAAATCTCAACTATTTTGACTTAATTTAGTTTTTTTAATGATGCAAAGCAACACAGAGATTGGCTTCCAGAGCCGGGGGGAGGAGGAATCACCTTCTGGAGGAGCTGCAAACTTGTTCTCTAGTGGCAACGTGAGCCCTTGGATGTGCAGGGAGGGAGGTCGTGTCCTGGCCTCCTGCCAGCTCGGCTTCATCCTGGAGAACATCACCAAGTGCCTGTGCCCACTCAGTGCCAGATACCCAACTCGCCTGTACCACTCTCGGGAGGTTTTTGGTGCTTTTTCTGACCACTTTCAGCCTGGATTAAGGCGACAGCTCTCGAGTGCTGCGGAGGCAGGTTGCCTACGTGTCAGCTGTGCCCTTACTGAGCTGTCAATTTGCCCCCCCAAAAAAATGTGAAGCAGCAGGGACATGCAGTGGCAACACAGCATCGTGGAGCGTGGTACCTTCCCCCCTCAGTGTCTCTGGGGTGGGGGGAGCTCTGCCTGCCCGCTGATGTTTTTTCCTTCTCCCGCTGTCCTCTGCTGCGTGGTTCATGCTGTAGATAGATCCCTTGTGCGACGGGCGAGCTACCAGCTGCTGTTGCAGGTATCGTTGCGCTGTGGTTTTCTGCTGAACGTGGAGGAGGCTGGTTAGAAACCAGCAGCTCCAGCCAGCACGCCCAGATGCCGTGATGAGTGTTTCCTGTTGCCTTTCGCTATGGAAAGACACCTCCCGGGAAGCTCTTGGGACCCGGAGGTCTTCCGGCACTTGTTGTTATTTTTGGTTGCCAGATTTCCGGTGCTGGGGTTGGAATGGTTTGGAAGTTACTCGTGTCGTGTCCCGTTAGTCTCCTAACGAGCCTGTTCCGAGAAGTGTCCCATCCTGCGACTTACCTTTGGAGTCCTGCCTTTCCATTAAGGACTGTCCTATAGGATGAGGTCTGAACCATTGTAATGAGTCTGTAACGTTACGATTAGAGTGTACAGAGTTATTTATTTTGTGTACTCGGTCTGCTCAACATGTAAATGTATTCTGGGTACCCCCTGGCTCTGCTGTCGTTACTTCTGCCCAGCGGAATGACTGCTGGAAGGCGCCGCTTTCTGGGCTGTGGGTGGGCAATGGTCAGGAAAAACATGGGAAGCCAGGAGCTGCTCACCCCTCTCTCTCATTCCTTCTTGGAGCACAGCAAGAAGGTACCAAAGTGCTCATTAAAGAGTTTTATGGTGTCTTTCAGGCAGCTGCCAGGCCAGAAGCTGCCTGTGGCAGACCTTGTGTGGGGTTGGGATGTCCACAAGTGCTCTGGGTGAGTCAGGCTCTTGCTGGAAGGCAGGGTTTGGGCACTGAACGGGCACTTTGGGGCATTTTGTTTGCTTTTCTCTGGCTGCAAGGTGGCAAGTGGGGCCAGAGAAATACCCTGGTTTGCCCCCAGCAGCTCCTCACCTCTCTGGTTTCACTCTGGGCAGCTTCTGTGGGTGAACAGGAAAACCTGTAACACCAAGTGAAAAAAGGCACCTCCCTTTTGCACCATGTCCTCCTGGAAGAGAGGTGATTTCTCAGGCACAAGGGACCCTGTCCCAGCAGTGGCAGGGGTGACGGTGGCCTGTACACACAGAGCAAATGACCCATCGTGCTGCACCTCATCAGTTCCTGTTTGAAGCTCCACGTGGCCACCAAGTTTCTTATGGCCCATCCCCACATCTCCAGTGTTCAACTGTCTTCAAGGTCATTCAGGAGCTAGATAAAGCCGAACAGGAGTATCCTGCTTTCATGAGATGAGTCTTATTTCAGGTACCATGGCGTGAAAGCACACTCCAAATATCACGGCAGACCGATGGGACTGGTATGTACCTCGAGCAGCTGCTGCCACCAGCCATAGGGGAGATCTCATGGAGCTCGGCCCCTGTGCCCTTGTCCCCCATGTCCCAGGAGAGGCTTTCCAAGACAAGGGACTCCGAGCCAGCAGCTTCAGAGCTTTCTCTGTGAGCCCCCACGTTAATTTGCTCCACTTGCTCTTGCTCCCTGCAGAGCAGACCGCTAAATGAAGCTAAATTTTGTCCAATCAAATGAAAACTTGTCAGCCCTCGGCTGTATTTGAGCAGTTTTGGGGTTTTTAAACTTAAACATACTTGTCTTTACCCTCCGTTCATGATCTATGACCCTTCCCGTGGGTATGTCTGTGCTTTTGCTGCGACTGCTTGGCTGGGATTCACACGGTGGAGGTTTGATGTTGCATTCACATCACTGGTGACGGAAAAACCCCCACGCCCCATGTTGGGACAGTCTGATCCTGCTCCTCTCCACGGTGTCCTCGTGACCAGCTCTGTTGGGAGCTGCCAGGAACCAGGTTTCAATTCATTGACCGTGTGTGAACACGAGACTTAAGTTTTTTGCACCTGCTGTTGTCTCAGGAACCCATTTGGGTGAAACTGCTGCTGGCTTCTGACACCCTGTTGCCCGGCCTTGAATTTTTGTCTTGGCTTCAACTTTTCCTCTGGGATGGCCTTCAGTTTCCTGCTCTGTTCCCTGGCAAATCTGCACCTGTGACGCAGTGTGGTGTTCTCCAGCTGCCTCCTCCCACCTTCCCCAGGAGCTGGAGCTGGCGTTTCTCCCTCTCAGCTCTGTGTCCCCAGGCTGTGACACCAGTTCCAGCATTCGCCTGTCAGACAGGGATCTTCTAAGATCCCATGTGCCCACCCTCCATCGCTTGCTCATGCTGGTGAGCTCCACAGTCCCTTTCCTGGAGGAGCTAGTGCTGGTGGGACCAGCTGGTGCTGGAGGTCTCTCCCCTGGGTTAGCAGCAAGGTGACATCGCCCACCCTCAATGCCACAGTGGCCTGGGGGCTGGTGCCAGCATTGCTGGTGGGCTTCAAGACCCCCTGAGCAGCCCTCAATGCACAGCCAGCCCTGCTCCTCTGCCTGCACGTCATCTCCACTGCCCCAGCAGGTTCCCAGCTGGGCACTGAGCCCCAGCTCTGGGGTTCAGGAGAAGACCATGGGGTGCCCCAGGCTTCCTCTCTGCGCCTTCCGCACCGGTCTGTGTTGCACAAGGAAAGAACCAGAGGCAGCGCTTGGCACGAGCAAATGCTGACACTTTATTTCCAAGTTGGGAGTGCCTTGCGTCCAGCTCAGCCCCCGCCAACGCCACCGCGCCGGGAGCAGCACCCAGCGAAGGGGTCCCTCTAACCCTGAGAAACCACGTACTCGATCCAGTTGCGGAACTGGCTGACGCGGGTGTAGATGGCGGGCGTGCGGACGCTGCAGTTGCTGTTTCCCCAGGAGACGATGCCGGCCAAGGTCCAGATGTTCCCGTTCTGGTAGACCAGAGGGCCACCAGAGTCACCCTGCGGAGAAGACACCTTAGATGGTCCCGGCACTTGCTCCAAGCTGGTCCCTGCCACCCCAGCCGCAGCCGGGTGCTACAGCTTGAATCTCTGGCTCCAGAGATGTGAGATGCCCGTGTCCTCTTCCTCCTCCACCCGCCCTGGGGTGCAGCGGGACCTCGGCTCCTTACCTGGCAGGAGGAGGCACCGACGCCGCCAGCACAGAGCATGGAGCTGGTGATCCGGTTGCCCCAGTACTGCGTGCACTGGCTCGGGGAGATCAGAGGCAGGACTACCTGCTGCAGGCGTGAGGCCAGGGCTTGGGCTAGTGGGGAAGGAAGTGCCATTAAATCACCCCGGTGTTGGCAGGACTCTCCTGGGGCCTTTGGGAGCGTGTGGGCACCCTGGGCAAGCTCCCAAACACAGGGCGGCTGCCACGCAAAGCTGTCCCAATGTCCCCCTTCTCCCCTGGGTGGCATTGTCTCACGCACACAGCCCCAAGCAAGGGCAAGATGTCCCTGTGCATGGTCACCCCTGGGCTTTGCGCACACCTACCCTTGTGCTTGTACCAACGCACACTTGTGTGTTGTCACTCAACTGCTCAACTCCCCCATCCCCACGTCCACGTGAGGTGTCACCCCCACCCTGGTCACCCCCAGACCCTGCAGAGCCCCCAGGAAGGCTGGTGGCCACCCGCAGCCCTCCCCGAAGCTGGAGCGTACGTACAGGCGGTGTTGATGCGTCCCCAGCCGGTGGTGACCAGCGGGAGGTTGGTGGGCAGAACCAGGTTGGCTGGTGCCAGGCAGACGGGGGAGACGCGGGGTCCCATCTTGGCGGGCGAGGAGAGCTTCAGCAGGGTGATGTCATTGTTAAAGGTGTTGGAGTTCCAGTTGGGGTGGGTGACGGCCTGCCAAAAGAAAACCCAACCATACAATACCATTGCGCGTCAGCCCTGCCCGCGGGGAGCAGCCGTGGCACAGAGCTGCAGCCGCCTCCCAGCACCGTGGCCTCGTCGGTGCATCTCACCCTGGACACGGTCTTCACTTGGACGGACTCCGAGTTGGAGGTGAGGTCGTATTCCCCGAGGACGACGACGTGGGAGTATGGGCTGCAAGAGGCAGGGGAGTCAGGGGGACACGCGGCAGCCAGCCCCCGGGGTGGGAGCCACGGGCATGGGGCATCGTGTGCCCAAGGGAGCCCCGGGCGGCTCAGTCCCTCGGGTGCTGGCTTTTGGGGGTGTCCCTAGTGCCATTCGGCGGTGCCCAGCGTGCCCCGAGCCCCTGTCCCTGCTGGGGGGCAGCGCGGTGGCCGGCCGGGCATCGCTCCTCACTTGAATTGGCAGTGGGCAGCCGTGACGACCCATTCGTCGCTGATCAAGGAGCCGCCGCAGAAGTGGCTTCCTGAGCGAGTCTGGGGAGGAAAGAGGGAGGAAGAGCTGGGGCTGGGCAGGCGGAGGCGTCCCCCCGAGCTGGGGACGGGCAGAGGGTGTCACGGGTGCCCTCGGTGCCGGGGAGGAGCAGAAGGTGCTGTACCTGCAGGGACACCTGCCAGGGCCAGGAGCCGGGCACCGCGTTGTGCCCGTTGATGATCTTCTCATTGTATTGCACCAGGGGGGTGATGGCGGGCACCCCGCAGCCTGCGGGAGAGGCAGAGGGGCATGAGGGTGACACCCCCCCGCCAGAGCTCAGGGCTCACACCCGGGGGCTGCCTGTGCGGGTGTCACTGTCCCCAGGGGGGTGCCCCAGTCCTGCTGCACCCTGGGCACCTCCCTGCACCCCGAGGACTGCGCTTACCTGAGACGGTGCTGGCAAGAGCCAAGCAGACGAGTGCCCACAGGAACGCCATCCTGGCAGAACAGGAGTGTGCCCCAGGGGCCACCAGCTTTATAACCGCCAGGAGCCGCGTGGCTCAGGGCCAGGCAGGACAAGGTCCCCCCTGCTGCCTTCTGCCAGCTGCGGGCAGCGCTGATGGGACAAACCTGGCACCTGCCTCCCCACCCTCCCCAAGCAGGGACGTGGGAACGTGCTGCCCAAAGGCACCTTGGGGGGCTTGGGCTATCGCTGGAATGAGTTGTGTCAGTTCTCACTGCAGCCTGTGGAGGGAGAGAGCACCGGGGAGGGGGGGGTGGGCTGCTTGTGGGCACACAGGTGGGGTGGCAGCGGGGCGGCAGTGGGGCTGGACGTGCTGGGACGGTGGGAGGTCACCCCGTCCCCAGGCCTGTTTCAGATCTGTTGACAGGGTGACAGTTTTCTCCTGACCTGTGACAGCGCCCGTCCCACCTGGACGTTCCCAGGGTCCAGGGCCACCCCCTTGAACCCTGCCCCTGGTGCAGGTGAGCGTGTCCCAGGGCCAGCTGGGGAGGCCAGACACCTTCCCAGGCAGATGGGAGCTGTGGCCAGTGTGGCAAGCAGACTGCGAGCCCCGAGGAGGACAGTGACCCCTCCACCTGGAGCATCACTGCAGCTGCCCAACCCCTTCACCTCAGGGGAAACAGTCCCCCACGAAACCCCTGTCACCATCCTTGATGTGCAGGGGACACGCAATCCAGAGTCTCCATCATCCCCCATGTCCTTGGGTGATGCTCCCAGGGTGGCACCGGGAGCCAGCCCTGGGGTGATGCTGAGCGGGGGGATGGACCCCCCCCGACACTGTGCCACCCACACCCCCTCTCCTCCCTGCCCGGACCCCCTGGGGCACAGAGCTGGGACATCATCAGCACAGAGCTGGTGCATCATCACAGAGCTCAGGCCTTTATTTCTGGCAGCAGCACCACGCGAGGACGGCAGGATGGGGCCCACCAGGAGGCAGGGAGTGTGGCAGAGCGTGGCGGCCTCCCACAGTGCTGCAGGGGCTGGGCACAAGGACGCAGGCACAGAGAAAGGCTTTGCTCCTCATCCTCACGTGGAGATGACCAAGGGCTGGAGAGCGGCAGAGGATGGAGGCAAAGAAAGGGGGCCAGGAGGATGCTCAACACAACAGGCACAACTCAGTTCGTGCTCTCAAAGAGGCTGGAGAGTCTTGGACTCCAGTCCTGTCTTGGAGGAGGGCAAGAAGCTGGGTAGATCAGCAGAACTCTGAGCTGTCCCTTCACGCCAGCAGGGACAGGGTTGATGGCACCACCCAGGATGAGACCCCCTTCGCTGCAGCCGTGAGGAGGTGGCTGAGCTGCTCTCCACTGTCCATACAGAGCCCAGGCTGGTGGAGCAGCCCCACCAGACCTCTGGGCTGATCCAAAGCAGAAAAGGCTTTCCATGGCTAAAACCCTCCTGCCAGCCCAGGTGGAGCAGGGCTCTGGGGTGATACCAGGCTCCATGACCAGGACACCCTGGCTCCAAAGGCTGTCTGGATACCAGGGGAAAGCCAAGTATCTCTGCAGGCCAGCAGAATAGCCGTGGGTTGATCTTCTCCTGACCCAGGTCTCCAGCTGGCACTTGCAGGGGACACTCAGCTCACCGAGGCAGGCCCAGAGGAGGATGGCACGTACCCGGACTGTCCCCAGCACGGGGTGAGGTGCTGGGCACGGGGCTGCCGTGCATCACCTCCGTTCTCCCCACACACAGCCTCAGAGAGGTCCTGCATGGCCCCTAAATCCGTGGGGGGAGCGGGCTGTGGGGCGCAGCGTCAGGCACACTTGCCCTTGCGAAGGCAGAAGGGCAGCTCGGGTGCAGGGACCAGGATGGTGCTGAAGATGGGCCGGTAGCTCTCGGGCAGGACCTGGGGGTGCTGCGCCATCATTTCCAGCACCATGTGTCGCACCTCCTTGGAGACGTCCCCCCGCAGGTCCAGCAAGGTGGAGATGTGCTCGTCGCTGGGCAGAGAGCAAGAGGTGAGTCCTGGCACGTCCACAGGGCTTGTGTCCCACAAACCTCCCACCAGCAGAGGAGCTGAGGCAAGGGGAGAGCCCGTACTTTGCACCAGCCAAGCTTTAAAATTTGTTTGAAAATAACCCCCAAAGCCAAATGTGAATTTGGCTTTGCCATTTCATGGGTTTGCACTGATTCTGAGCTTTCCAGTTTGGTGTTTTGTAATTGAGAATCACGGAATGGTTTGGGTTGGAAGGGACCTTAAAGCCCCCCCAGTGCCACCCCCTGCCCTGGGCAGGGACACCTCCCACCACACCAGGGTGCTCCAAGCCCCCTCCAACCTGCCCTTGAACCCCTCCAGGGATGGGGCAGCCACAGCTTCTCTGGCCAACCTGGGCCAGGCTCTCACCCCCCTCCCACCAAACAAGTTCTTCCCCACATCTCAGCTCCATCTCCCCTCTTGCAGGGTCAAACCCTTCCCCCTCCTCCTAGGGCTCCCCTCCCTGATCCAGAGGCCCTCCCCAGCTTTCCTGGAGCCCCTTGAGGGACTGGAAGGGGCTCCAAGGTCTCCCCAGAGCCTTCTCTTCTCCAGGCTGAACCCCCCAGCTCTCTCAGCCCCCCCTCCCAGCAGAGGGGCTCCAGCCCTCTGATTTCTCACACTTTGTTTGGCCACCAAATACAGATGGGTAAATGCCACAGCAGAACTATTTTTTCCTTAACATCTGTGTCCTTGGGACTTTGCAAAGAAACCCTCAAATCTGGAGTGTGGGAAAAGGAAACCTCAGGGAGGAGGGGGGAAAGGCCCAGGTTCCTGCAGCGTAACCTCAAGGAGTCTGGCCCAAGCCCAGCTCCCGTGGCAGCCCCAGGGCTACCCCATCCCGCAGGTGAGCTGAGCTCCTTACCTGACATCGGGGTACTTGGTGATGAAGCCCAGCACCTCCAGGCTGAGCAGCGCTGGGTCTTGGAGGCAGATGAGCTCCCGCAGGGCAAACACGGCCTCCAGGCTCTGCTGGCTCCCGTCCAGGCCCTGGGAGGGAGAGAGGCCACATGTGAGATCAGGAGGAGGCCACCAGGGTGGCTGCTGAGCTCTAGCCCAGTCCTCAGTGACCACCTGGGGACCTGGCCCCCTGCAGCTGCTCTCTCCCCACTTAGCACGTCCCATCCGTCAAGGCAAGATGAGGCTGTGCAGCCTCACTGACCCACACTGGGCAGGGTGAACTGTCCCAGGAGTTCCTAATCCCACCAGTTCTGCCCATCCTGGCCTCACAACCTCCCAAGTGTAACAGCCACGTCTTGTTCACGGGTAGGAGGGTGCTGGAGGTGAGCTACGAGCTCCTTGCACCCACCTTGCTGGGTGATGCTCCCCCTCCTACAGCCCAGCCTGGGCTCCCTGCCACACGTGGACACCCCTCACCAGGCCACAGAAGAGCTCCCGCAGCTGCGTGGCGTCCTGCAGCAGACGGTCACAGAGCTGGCCCCGCTCTTCCTTGCTCTTGCACACCATCTTCTTCTGCATGAGGGCCCGCAGGTACTGGCTGGCCACCAGGAGCTCGCTCTCCATCAGCAGGAGCTGGGCGGGGGTGGAGAGCTGTTAGTGCTGGGCATGGGACCCCCATTGCCCGGGGAAAGGGGTTGGATGCAACACCAAACCATGGGGACAACCTGCTGGGAAGCCCTCTGGCTGGAGGAAAGTGGTTGAATTTGGGAGAAATTCTGAACATTTCCGCGTGGCAGCACCCTCCGAGCTGCTCCGGAAGATACGGGCTCTCTGGCAAACCCAGCAGCGACTGCGTCCCCTGCATCCTGCACCCAACCTCCTTGCCCTGTATTTGAAGGATGCCCCACAGCAACCGTACCGTGAAGACGGGTTTCCTGACGTGGGAGAAGTCCTTTGCGTACTTGTCGATCACTTCACACATGCTGCTGACGAGCTGGGAGCCCGAGAGCCACTTGCGGGAAGGCAGCTGCAGGCAGAGGGGCTGGAAGGAGCAGAGGAGCAGCGTGGGGTGCCCTGCTCGCACGGCAGCGGCACCGTGTGCCACAGCCACCGCCAGCCCACGGTCAACATAAACATAGAAGAGTGGCCTAGATTAGGAAATTATGGGAAATACACAGGGGCTGCCCCTCCCCGACACCCAGAAATCCACATTTTGGGGGTTTTTCTGGGTCACGATGCCTCCGTCGCGGGCAGCATCTGAGGTGTGAGCAGCGAGCTGCTCCTCACCCCCCCACTTGTGGCCTCTCCCGCTGCGATTTTCTTTTTAATTTCCACTCCTCTCCACTTCCCTTGTGTAGACATAACACGGTTTTGGCTGAGGGCTTTGACCTCCTCCTTCCCCTGCTGTCCTCGCCTGCCTTCCTGCCTGCAGGCAGACATTCCCTCTCCATCTCTGCCAGGCCAGTCTCCAAGCTGCCTGCGAGCGTTTCATCCTTGAGCTGCTCTTTTCATTCAAGCCCTAAATAGCAAAGCCCTTAATTATTCCAGATTTTTTTTTTTTTTTTGGGTCCAGACTCCAGGAAAGCTAAATTTGACTGCGCTGGCAGGAAATGACCGGGGCAGTGGCACAGGGGCCTGTATCCTCCACACGGAGGCTGCTTCTCTCCTGTGTGAAGCGGCCACACCAAGGAGCGTGGGGCAGCCCGGGGGGGGGTCCAAGCTCACAGACTCTGTTGGTTGGTGGTTTGGGGACCACAAGCCACCTGTCCCAGCCACACCAGGCAGTGCTGGGGGGTGACAGACACCCCCTGAGCTGCAGGTGGAGGGCTGGGAGCCAGGCTGGCAGAGATGGCTGCAGGATGGGGTACGTGGCGGGGACAGACCCGTGCCCGGGGGTGTAGCAGTAGGTGCTGGTTTTGCTGGGGCCGGGGTTGTTCCAGCCCTGCCCGCATCAGGGGCTGTGGACAAACCTACCTGCAGGTCCAGGAGCAGCTCCTCCAGCAGCAGCTGGCAGGTTTTCTTTTGTGTCCTATCCAGAGCGGCCCGGAGGGACGCGGGGACTTCTCTGCGGGCAGTGTCAGGGTGCAGGGAGGAGACAGAGGAGCTAGGAGAGAAGGAGGAAGGGGACAGGTCGTCTGGGAAGCACGGTAGGGACACTGGTCCCACATGAGGATGGGGAGCAGGTAGTGGGGTTGCTACAGGACCTTCAAGGTGCTGGCGCATGTTACCTGAGAGTCAGGTTGTTGTTGAGCATGGCCAGCAGGTAGGAGACATAGTACTTGGGGACGGTACGGTCCTTCTGGTGCTCCTTGCCACACTGCACCAGGGCTTCCCTCAGGCTGCAACACAGTGAGGCAACCATGAAGGGCGGGTAGAGCCCCAGACGTCTTGCCACAAGGCCCCGGGATGCCTCTCTGGGCACACAGACCTCCCATCACCCTCCAGCTCACTTGGCTCTTTCCACCTCCTGCCACCAGGTTGGAGAGTGACAGGTTGTTAGGTAGGGTGGGACAACGAGACCCATTCTGGACCCCTCAGGAGAGCAGGGCTTGCTGCTACTGGAGAGGTGCTTGAGGCAGCAAACCCTGGGAGCTGATGACCCCACAAGCTGGGACAGTAGCCCCATGGGTAGACAACCTTCTGGGACCTGGCTGAGTGCTAGGTGCCCCATGGCAGAGATCTCCACCATCAGCCTATGGTGCCTGGCCATGGGACCCATGGTCCTTGAGGATAGGTAGGGGTTCAAGGGGCTCCACTGACCGGCCCAGAAATGCCTCAAGCTCCTCCAAGGCCATGGTGTAGACCTTCTGCTGCAGAGAGTCCGTGATCAAGGAGGCGACCCGGATATTCTCACTCAGCATCTGCACAGGGGGAGGAAAGTGGAGGGGAGTCAGTGGGAGGCTGCAGGCCACAGCCCCCTTTTTGGGGACTCCCATGCCCCGTGGTGCAGGGAACCCAACCTGCATGACAATGACAGGCAAGGCTGACTGGAAGAAGCCCTGATGGTCTCTCTCAGGTTCCTCTTCCCTGAACCACTCCTTGAACTCCACCTCCAGGGTCCTTTGCAGCCACTCGAGCACGCTGGCCTGTGAGATGGACACCCACAACGGTCAGCCCAAAAAGTCAGGCACCAGCTCCCTTGAGACCCAACACACACAGTCCCACAGGCTCATGGTCTCCTGCTGCTGTCAGAGCAGATGGTGGCTCAGTGGTGGTCACTGGGTCCCCGTACCCGTTGCACGTGTGCTGTCCCGCTCACTCACCTTGACTTTCACCACGTATTTCCTCTCTGTCTGATCCACCAGCTCAGGGGACATCAAGGGGCCCAGAGAAGAAACGTCCACTTCTGGGATAAGGTCAGGGTGACCCATCATCTCTGGACTGGAGGGCAGAGGTGGGACAGGGCTGGGAAGACCTGTGTTTTTCCAGCAGTTCCTGCCTCTCCCTCTGCCCTCCCGGTGGTCATCCCCAGGCAGTTGGCACTACTCTCCCAACCTGCCCACGTGCTGGTGGCCAACCCAACTCTCCATAACCTCCCCTGCTTGGCTGGTGCTGACCTGTGGTACACACGAAGCGCCCACTCAAGCAGGAGGAACAGCGCCTGTTTGTCCAGGTCTTCTCGGAGGATGTCCTGGAGGTGGCTGGTGAGGGCTTGGTGGTACGTGGTGGTGCACACGCTGAGGATGTTGTAGTGAGCTGGGACACACTGGACCATCAGATCCTTCACCACACGCAGCTCAGACACGATGTTCTTCTGCAGTGTTGCCAGATGCCTGGCCAGCCCTGGCCCCTCAGCATCCACACCGGTGGCATGAAAGCGGGCTCCTGTGATTGCCTCCTGGAGAACCTGGTAAAACTTCTGCTTCCAGCCCTTTGGGCGGCCGGGGGGCAGGAAGGTGGCCTCCAGGAGCAGAGTATCATCTATTTTCTCCTCCCTCTCGATGATCCTTACAGCAGTGACAAAGAGAACTGGGTCCTCACGCACCAGCTGCAGGCTGTTGCCCACGATGTCCCACAGCTGCTTGGCCAGGCTCTCGTTGAGCTCCTGCAGGCCACCAAAGTAGGACAGCACAGTCGTCTGGGCACTGGAGAGCCCTCGGAGGTGCAGCTGGGAGAGGATGTCATCCCGGAGGTGCTCCATCATCATGAGCTCCGCGTGGGCCTCCAGGAGGTGCTGCCCATGAAGCAGCTGGAGGGTATGGGAAAATACCTCTTGGACTGTGGGAGAGGGAGGAGAGATGCCAGGATTGATTGCGGGGGGCGAAGGGGGTGGACACCAGGGTCACAGTTAGCAGGGAGATGGCGAGGGGAAGGGTCTGAGATCTGGGGCTCTGGGAAGACCGCGCTGGATCAGACCCCAGGGAGACACTGGCATCTCCAGCCACAGAGGCTTTTCAAACCCAACCAGCAAAGCTGGAGTGGCCTGCTCTAGCTTTGCCACCCCCCCAGGGTTGGACCGGAGCTCTCCCCTGCGCCTTCCAACCCAAATCCAGGAGGACTGGGGCCAATGCCTTACCCGAGAAGAGCTGGGGCAGCACCTGGACCACCGAGGCCAGCTGCACGTGCTCCGCCATCAGCGCCCGCATCTGCTGGAGGCCCTGGAAACGGTCCATGCTGTCCAGCAGGGCCCAGCGCGCTGCCCCCAGGTCCTGGCACACGCTCTGCACCTCCTGGGCCGCCGACCGCAGCTGCTCCAGCCCCGCACCTACCCCCTCCAGGTAGGACTGGACAGTTGACTGGGGAGCAGAAGAAGAGGCAGAGGCAGTGGAGAAGCTCTCAAAGGCCGGAGGATTCACACGCCATTTGCCCAGGTTCTCTCTTGTACCCACTCCCAGCCCCATAAGGTCACATCTGCCTCTGCCACCATATCTCCCATCCCTTCTGTGATGACCCCATCCCATCAGACCCAAGCACACCCAACTTCAGGAAACCTGCTCCAGCAGCAGGAATGGCTCATCTCACCTCCCCCTCTGGGTAAACTGAGTCACAGTGACTATTTAGGGGGTGGAAGGGCAATGGCTGCTTTGCAGGAGGTGGGAGAGGCAATGGCTGCTTTGCAGGAGGTGGGAGAGGGGCATCACTTTGGGGTGACCAAGGGTGAACAGTAATCACATGCCTCATTACGCTTTTAAAATATTACTTTGGTTCTGCAAAATATTTGCAGGCCACAGGGCTCCAAGTGTGGTCCCCCAAGGCATATTAACGGCACGAAGAACCTCAGTAGCCATACAGACCCTCCTTCAAAATGGATTTCCATCTTTTCCAGCCCCAAAGTGGCACTGACACATCTCCATGTCTTGTCCTCCCATTTAACTCCTGCCTCTCGGTGCCAAGAAGCACTTTTATCCAGCATCATCAGAAGCAAGCTGTTTTGTGGCTGTCTGAGGCCACACGACTTGAAAACAAGTTGCTTCCTGGACAATTCACCCACATTCAGGGTAGGAGAAACGACCTCCAAAAATAATCAGGAGAAGATCGGGTCCTGAGGTTAATCATTCCTGGGGTTGTGCAAAAAGGGTGGCACTGAGCTGAGAGATGAGCACAGGGACTGAGGACAGCCCTTGCTGGTGTGTGGAGTTTCTCCTGCAGGACCTGGAGGCAGGGACAGGTTGGAGCTCGTTGCCTCCTTCCAGTTGTGGGGAAGGGGAGCTTTGGTGCCAGGATGGGATGGGATGGGGAGCACTGACTCTCGCACATGGGATGTGCTGAACAGCCTGGGAGACACAGGCAACTCATTTTACCAGTTTAGAAACTGCCTGGCGGAAGGGCAGGGGGTGTGGGGCGGTATTTATCAGATCTTTTCCCCCAAGTAATTGCATTTCTCCCACCAAGCACCAGCCAAAGGCCAAGATTTTGCCAGAAGTGGGCACAAAGATGATTCAATGGAGAGGAGAGGACCCTGGCTGGGACCCCTGCTTGGGGAGGCTGTGTGTGTCTATGGGGTGGGCTGTGGCAAACACCCACCTTCAGCCGGGACTGGATGGAGCTGTTCCTCTGCGTCTCTCGGCTCCGGTACTGCCCGAGCCCCTCCAGTTTCTCGGGGCGGTAAAACACCCCTGAAGCCCATTTCAGGGCGGCTCCTCTCGCCAACTTCTCAGCCTTCTCCACTTCTGGCCACTCCTCATCTGGGGACGAAGCCAGGGGTTAACGAGCACAACGAAGGCAGGGGTTAAGGAAGCCTCTGCTGGCAGGGCAGGAAGGGCCCCCGAGGCCAGTGGCAGGAAGCTGGCCGCCAGCGGATGGATGTCCAAGCACACCCAGATGTGGGAAGCCAGATGACACAGCAGCAAGTGGGTCCTTCCGTTGAGGGCCCCCCCAAGATGCCACCAGCAAGGGCCAGGGTTGTCACAGCAGCCGTGGCAAAGGCTGCCCTGAGGAGCTGTCACCCAGCCTGCCCCATCGCTCCTCCCAAACAAAAGGCTGGGTTGTCTGAAGGGGGTCTGATGGCTCCTGGGAAGGTGCCATCAGCAGGGCTGAGGCTTTGGCAGAGAGTGGGCAGGAGGAATAGAGAGATGGCAGCGCTTGCATGAAGGAGAGCCAGGCTGAGATGAGGACAGGAGGGTCCTGGTCTTCCAGAGGCACCCACGCAGCTGCGGGGGGCCATGGCATCCCCCTTGGCACAGGGTCTGAAGCCATGCCAGAGGTCTTCTGGCCAGACCAGAGGGCTGAGAACCAGAAGAGCTATCACACACCAGCCTCCATCCCCTGGCCTCATCATTTCCCCCTTCTCCACCCCCAGCCTAGGGGGGCTCTGCAGCCCCACGGGGATACCACCCAGCGCCAAGCCGGGCTCCTCCTGTGCTGGGAAGCCTGCCTGCACGCCAGGGGACTGAGGGCCTTCAGAGGAAGCCGGCAAGGGGAAAAGGCCCGGGGGTGGTAAGGCAGAGGGCAGGGATGCCCGCAAAGCAGCAGCATCCCTCCCCTGCCCGGCGGCTCCCCGGGGCAGAGGGAACCGCACCGTCCCCGTTACCTCTGGGGCTGAGAGCGCGCTCCTCCTCCGAAGACATGCCCATGGTCTCCGGGCCGTGCGAGCCGCGGGGGCCGGGAGAGAGGGCTGGGCGGAGGAAGCCGGCAGCCGTTTCCTCAGCCGGCAGCAGCCGCGCTCCTCAGGGCCCCATTGTGTTCCCGCAGCCCCGAGCGGGCGTCAGGAACCGGAGGAGGGCGGGGGGGGGAAGGGGGGGACACAGGGGAAGGCAGGCCGCGGGAGGGGACGGCAGGCCCGGCGTGGCCCCGTCCCCCAGAGCACAATCAGGGGGGGCTCGCCCCCACACCGGGCGGTTTAAAGCAGGATCCGCTCCTTCCAGCTCGGCGGTGCCGGGCCCGGGAGAGAACATGGCGCTTTAGCTTTGGTACCACAGGGCCGGCGGGGCCGGGAGAGGAGCCGGCGGCGGGCAGATGGCGGAGTGCGGGCCGCAGCCCCCCGGGGGGGGGAGCGGGGCTGCGGGGGCGCCCAGCCGGCACGAGAAGAGCTTGGGGCTGCTGACCACCAAGTTCGTGTCGCTGCTGCAGGAGGCCAAGGACGGCGTGCTCGACCTCAAGCTGGTGCGGGGGATTGCCGGTGCTGGGGGAGGAGGAGGAGGGCCCGGGGGTCCCACTGCGGGGGGAGCGGAGCTCCGGCGGGCCCGGCCCTCCGGGGGCCGAAGGGGGTTTTGAGGGGGGAGCCGGGCCAGGGCAGCGGAGTCCCCGTGGGTGCGGGTGTCCCTGGGGGTCCTTCCCGCTGCTCTCCCCGCCGGGAGCAGCCCCAGCCGCGCTGCTGTCCCCGGCAGAGAGGAGGCAGCGGACCTTGCAGGCACCGGTGGGCTTCAGTTGGAGCCACCTTGTCCCCTTCCACGTTCTTGCCCCGCGCCAATATGCTGCTTGATCACCCGCCCCATAATGATCCAGCCCCATAAAGCCTCCGAGACCTATAGAAGCAGATACTATAGAAACCGTTCCTCTCTCCCACTCTTTGCTCCCCCCCCCCGGGATACAGCAGAGCGTGGGCAGATTCAGCTCTGCCAAAGGTTGTCCCCGATGCCTTTAAGCTGTGGAGAAGTGCCCTGTGAACGTGCCTGCCTTCTGCGTTTTAAAGACCTTCACCTAGAGGAAGTAATGACATTGCGGCACGTACGGCACTTAAAGCTGAGCCTTTTCTCCAGGTGGGGTGGCTTTGCCGTGGTTTATACAAACATCTCTTAGGTGGATGTGTGTGTGAGTGCGCTGTGACCCTTTGTGGGCAGCAGACAAAGTACCAGAAAGCCCTGAAGGTGCAGCTGCTGGAGGGATCTCCTGGCTGTAGGCTTCTGTCCTCCCCTGTGCCAAACTGGATTTGAGCAGAAGACTAGTATTTTCGTGCTTAAAACGTCCATTAAGTGGGACTTCCATTTGGTAGCGTGGTTTGATGAGTTGTGGGATGTAGGGTCTGTTACCGGGAGGTGTGAGGGAACTGATGTTACTGGTCCTGGCTATGCCAGTGCAGTGCCCGTTAAACTCTTGCCAGGGGCAGGTTGCCATGTGGTGGTGGTAACGGGCATATTGGCACAGTCCAGTGTGTCCCGAAACCCCAGGGTTGTGTGAGCAAGGCAGGGAAGTCCCAGGGCTGCTCAGGAGTCCTGCCTTTCAGCCACGCTTACTCTCCTCCCGGTGTCTTTCAAACAGAGGAATCTGCCTCTTGAAAAGGTGTTGATTCTCTGTCCAGTGGTGTCAGATCAGATTTAGAAAAGACCTTTAGAATGGCAGCTTCCCTAAGCGGTCGTCAGTCTCACAGACAGCTCTCTGCCTTCCTCGTCCCATCCCCATCCCTTCTACCCTGAAGGAGCACTGAATTTTCAGGCTGCTGGACTACTGTCTTCTACCACTGCGTTGCTGCTGAGGAGTGGTGATTTTTTTTTTTTTTTTTGGACCTGCTGCGTGTGAGGCAGCTGGGAAAGAAAAGGAACGAAGGGGCAGTGGCTTCTTCTCATGGCCATGGTGACATTGAGAACGTGGCTTTGTAACTTGAGGCGCCGGGACAAGAGAGGTATGAGATGGTGAGCAGGGTGCTTGGCCAGGAATTAATCTGACAGCCAGGAAGGACCGAAACACAACTGAGAGTTTGGAGTTAAGTGTCTAACCTTTTTGCAGGCTGCAGATACCTTGGCTGTGCGACAGAAGCGACGGATCTACGATATCACGAATGTCCTGGAAGGTATCGGGTTGATCGAGAAGAAGTCCAAGAACAGTATCCAGTGGAAGTGAGTGACAGAGAAGGTCTAAATCATTCACGGGTCCCGTCTAGTCCAGGTTGGAGTGACACTGGGTTTAAAATGCCCTGCTCAGAGCAAAGTTCCTCAGTGGTCTGTGCACTTTTGTACTTCTAGAGAACAAGTCTTGTGAGGAGCAGCTGAGGGAGCTGGGGGTGTTCAGCCTGGAGAAAAGGAGGCTGAGGGGAGACCTTCTATCTCTCTCCAACTCCCTGAAAGGAGGGTGTAGCCAGGGGGGGTCGGTCTCTTCTCCCAAGGAACAGGTGATGGGACAAGAGGAACCGGCCTCAAGTTGCACCAGGGAAGGTTTAGGATGGATATTGGGAAAATTTTCTTCACCAAAAGGGTTGTCAAACACTGGAACAGGCTGCCCAGGGCAGTGGTGGAGTCGCCATCCCTGGAGGTATCTAAAAGCCGGGCAGATGTGGTGCTGAGGGACATGGGTTAGTTTAGTGGTGGGTTTGTCAGTGTTGGGCTGATGGTTGGACTCGATGATCTGAAAGGTCCCTTCCAACCCAGCCAATTCTATGATTCCCCAACCAGTACTACCAGCTGATGGTAGTAATGAGGGAACCTGAAGTCCATATGGCGTGTCTCTTTTAGAGCAGAGCTGTTATTTTGGTATAAACCACGTATTTGCAGCACCTTGGGCTAGAAAAGATGCCTGTTGTGGCGCTGGGGCTGGGGGAGAGCCCTGCCAGCCTGAGGGATGTGGGCAGATGTGCCAAACGTTGCTGTGCTGCAAGGTGGGGATTTAGAGTGGGTGCAGATGAGGTTTTCTGGGCTATCCGGCCTTGGTGTGTGACAGGGGTGGCAGTAGAGGAGGTGACAACTCCTCTGAGAGGTTGGGGCTGGTTTGGATTCCCCCAGAGGCTGATGCATGTCACTCCTTTTGACTTTGCGCAGAGGGGTGGGTCCTGGCTGCAATACCCGGGAAATAGCTCACAAACTGATCGAGCTGAAGGCAGACATAGAGGACCTGGAGCAGCGGGAACAGGAGCTGGAGCAGCAGAAGATGTGGGTTCAGCAGAGCATCAAAAACGTTACAGAAGACGTGCAGAACAGTCGATATCCTTTGTGTGAACTGGTCGCTCTTGTCTCTGTGTTCACTTGCTGGGCTGGAAAGCAGAGACCTGAGGGTTGGTGCTGCCCTGCTCAGGGCAGAGGGGTGGCAACGACCTGATGGTGCTGGAGGTTCTGTGCTGAAAGGGACGAGAGGCCTAATTTGAAATTAGGATAATTCTGTCCAGGCTGGGAACCAGCTTTTCTCTGCGATTCACAGCTTCTTGTCTGGCTTTTTGAAGTAAAAAAGACTGTAATATTTAGCGTGGTGAGAAAGGGGCTTCTCCCTGAGCCACAGGTGCCACTTTCTGGAGTGCAGAGCTGCTCTTGTGGCTTCTCTTAGGATGTCAGCTCTGACAAGGATGTGGCTTTCTGGGAATGGTATTTCTTGTGCTCAGGAAGAAAACACCAGGTGCTCTCTGAGTTCGAAGCTGCAGCCTTTCTCCTTAACCTTGAAAACATTAGCGTATGTGACACATGAAGATATCTGCAAGTGTTTCACAGGTAAGGAAATGCATCTCCATCGTAAAGATATAATGCTGCAGCCCAATCAGTCTGTCCCAGGTGCTCTCCTTTCTCCAGGAAAGAGGAGGCAGCGGCCCACAGGCTGCACAACAGCATGAAGTTAAATGTCGTGTGAGCTCTGATGCCACCCTGGGTTTGTGTACCACTGAGTTGTAGCACAGATCATTTCTTCTACTTGTCTTTAAAGGACCCGAGCTGCTCTTCCTAAGGAAGTCTTTTTTTTGGGTGTCGCTGTGTGGGTGTAGGAATGTTAGTGAGAAGCTTTTGAGGGCTTGGGGAGGCGATGTTTAATAATGGGAGGCAAATTTTATTGCATGGTAAGAATCTGGGTGTAAGCAGGGAAATAGTATAAAAGGTGGTCCCTCAGCTGCATCTTGCTCTCCACCAACAACAGGGATGGAGTGGATGCAAGAGGAAGGTGGTGGAGAGCGGGACAGAAGGGAATACACCGCTTGCCATGACCTCACTCCCTCGAGTACTGCCTTCCTAAAGCTGTGAGGTGTCTGTAGAAAAAGCCATGTGTTCTGTCTCCGTGGGGCAAAAGTGAAGAAAACCCCCAGAAACCTCTTGTTTCTTCTCTATTGCCGATTTTAATGGTAGCTGTAGGACCAAAAAAAAAAAAAGTAGAAAATCCCAGGTGGGCAGCGCGCAGCGTGGAAACTGCTCTCAGGTGTGGCAGGGTGTGGAGTCACAGCTCGTTTCTGCTTCGCTGGACTCCTGACCCAGTGCAACCCGTGTGCTTGCTCACAGCAGAGATTGAAGCTGCTTGTCCTGACCCCCCCAGCCACACATAATCTCACCCTTGTCCAACTTTCTCCTCGTCTCTTCCAAGCACTCTTTTTGCCCTAGGCTTCGTTAGCTCTTCTATTTTTCATCTTTGCCTTTGTGAGCTTTCCTTTTTCACCACGCTATGCTGCTCGAGTTCCCGCTGGTGACTTGTGCATTACCACCCCCTCTGCTTTGCTGTCTCTTCTGATTTAAGCTAGGACTTTTTTTTGGGGCAGGGCGTGGGTTTTCAGTTTGACAGCGCTTGGGGCCAGATAACTGGTAACAGTCTGGAAGAGTTTACTGGAGACGGGCAGACAGCTAGTTGCTTGGTTGATTGAGTGTTTTGCATTTTATTGCACCTGTTTTTTTTTTTTCTGTAAACCAGTTTGCATCTAAAGGCAGACCTCACCAAAAATGCACAGAGATTAGGTCTTACTGAGCGCAGGTCTGAATTCTGGCTGGAACAGAGACTTCATCCAAGTTTTTCCATTGTCTGTTCGGTTTTCCTGTATGAATATACTTCACATGACTTTTTTTTTTCCCTTTTTCCTCTCCTGAGCCTTGCAGAGGTTCTCTGTTGGACCTCTTGTGTTCTTGAACTGTGGTGCAGGCTGAATTTCAGCTCCTGATTTTTCTGATTGAAAACCTCCTCCTGCTGTTGAACTTGCTTTCTCTATGTGAGTTAGGGCTTAAAGATTTTCACGCTCGTGCTCTTGTCAAATATGGATTTATTATTTGGATTAATTAAAAAAAAAGGCAACCTAAGAATGTGTTAGTTTCTTGTGACTGGGAAACATAATTTTCCCATCTGTTGCTGTGATGGATTTTGCACTGGGAGAATCAAGAAGGAATTGGAAATGCACCGTACGCTGTTTTGTAAAAGTATTTGGGATGTAGCTATCAAGCTGTATTTGAAACTAACAGGTTTTAAAGCTTGAGCTTGTGTCTTTGAGCTTTATTATGCATTTTTAATGTCTCTTAACAATATTTTTCATACAGACTTGTTCAAGGAATCCCATCTTATTGACAAACCCTGTACTGTTTTTCATCCCTGTACCTTTTGCTGATCTGGCCTTTGATTGCCTGCCTGAAATGAAAGGATGTGCTCTTCTGCTCTCCATGCCCTCTCATCGCTCTGGGGATCTTCTCTGTTAATTATCAAGCACAGCTTAATGCAGAATACTGGTGAAGTGTGAACACTAACCACATTAGAGCGTGAACATTCAAAGTGAAAGCTGCTGACTGCTTGCTCTGAGTGTTCCCGGCGCTGGTATTTCTCTGTTCACGTTTCTAAACCCTGATATGGACTGGGAGCTGCTCAGCTGTGCCTGTTATTAGGGGTGCAGGTGTCAAGGAGCTGCAGACCTTGAAAAGGGAAGATGCTGTCAGCCTGGCTCCCCGCCCCACACGTGCTGGGCTCTGTGTGGGGTGCAGTACGACTAACGCTGGGCATTTCTCTTGCCAGTAGAGACTGAGAATGTTGGTTTGAGGTACTGGTACTCCAGCATGAGGCTGCTGTGCTGTTGGCAGCCCGGCTCCTGAGCCTGTTCAATGCTATCTCACTGCTGGCAGCGCAGCTCTTGCAGTTGTGTGCTCTTTTATTTATGATTCACATCTCAGAGCTTGTGACAACAGCATGAAGGGTCCTTCCCTTAGGATTAAGATGCTCTTAAGGGTGAATTTAAACCCTGAGGAAAAGAAAGGTTAGTCCTGTTAAGGATGCTGCTAACAAACTTTAGGGTTGCTTTGGGAGAAACTTGGCAGGTTCTTTGTGCCCTGGGCAGTCAGCACAGTGCGAGCTGTGTGATATCCTCGGCGGCTCAGGTGGGTGTAAATGGCAATCCTGCACAGAAGTTGGGGGGCTTTGGGGAGGGGGATCCTTGTCGGTGCTTAATTATCATCAGAATGGTTTGTGCCCACTGAGTGCTGACCAGTCTGTTTTCACAGGAGACACCCTCCTTGCGATTCGAGCCCCATCAGGCACGCGTTTGGAGGTTCCCATCCCTGAGGTGAGCGATAAACGCGTGGGCAGGGTGCAGGAGTGCCTGTCTGTCTGTCTGTCTGGGTGGGAGTTGTTGCTGGATTGACCAGTCTGGGAGTTGACAGGCAGGGGTTTGATGGAGTTAGAGGAACCAACCCCCAAGGAAGGCTCCAGATGTTAAACAATTGTCAGGAAAGTCTGTTGTTTGGAAGTAGGTGAGTAATTGCAGGAGCAGCAGGGGAGTGGATAGTCCTGGGAGACAGCAGAACTCTCTGTGGAGCTGTGCTGAACTGTCTTGCCTCTGGGGAAGTTCCTGTTCTGTTTGGAAAGGGCATTTCACGTGTGGTTGTGTTTCCCTTTTCGCTTTTCTCAGGGCCTAAATGGGCAGAAAAAATACCAGATCCATCTGAAGAGCACAAGTGGTCCCATTGATGTTCTTTTAGTAAACAAAGATGCTTGGAGCTCCCCTCCTGTGGTACTACCCGTCCCTCCCCCCGAAGACCTCATTCAGTGCCAGGCAGTTGCACCCTCCAAACCGCAGATACCACCGCTCGCCCACTTCCAGGAGGCATCCGTTCCCAGCAGCACCCAGCCCTCCACCCCAACACCCACCAGCACTCAGGACCACGGCCCTCCCGTGCAGAAAAACACCAGCACAGGTGAGAGGGAGCCTACGGGAGGCCAAAAAAAAGGGGGATGAACAGAGGAAGGAGGGGACATTCCTCAGTCTGGGGAGGGATGGCACCGCTGGTCCTGCAGTGCTGCCAAAGGGGGCATCTCTGCCTTTGCTGCCATGAGCCTTTTCTTTTGTTGGGATTAGTGTGGTGTGTTAATGGAAATAAGACGCTTGGCTTGAGGGGACAGTGCCAGCCTTTAGGAACAGTGGTGGGGAAGAGACTGATCATGCAGATTCATTGATCAGCAGAAGTTTGTAAAGGGGTCTTTTCGAGTCTCGTGTTCAATTTTCTGTTTGAAAAAAAAAAAAAAAGGCTGTCAGAAATACTAGATTGGTTGGTTGTGCCTTTGTTCAGGCAAATTTCAAAAGCCTCCAGCGATTGAGATCCCCAGCTTCCTTGGTGAGCTTTTCCAGGGCTGCAGCACCCTCTCAGTGAATTTCTTTTTCCTGATCCTGATGTCTGGATCCCCTGAGCTGCATCTCGTGCCAGTTCTGCGCGTTATATCGTTTGGCATCACTGAGAAGTTCTTAACTTTTGTAACTGCCTTTTGGGTAGCTGCAAGCTGCTGTTAGCTCATCCTTAGACTTCTCTTTGCCTGAATAAACAAGCCCAGCTACCTCCACCCCTCCTTGTAGGGGTGCCACAGACCCCTGCCCATCTTGACAGCCCTCACCTGGGTCTTCTCCACATCTTTCTTCAACTGGAAGATGGCCAAAGCTGGACATGGTAGCGCAAGTACAGCCTCAGCCCTGAGCAGGCAGATAGTAACTTCCCTCGACGTGCTGGCCATGCTTCTGGCGGTGTAGGTCACTGCCTGGCTCGTGTTAATTGCTGTGAGAGCATGTTCTTGGTTGGCCTGGCACCACCAGGGCTGCTCTCCTGGGAGTTTTTCTGGGTGAAAGCAAGAAGCCTTCTCCTGCGCAGCGGTTTGTGCTGGGCCAGCGTTGCCGGTGAGGGCTGGCTCTGTGCTGCTGCTTGCCTGGGGAGATGGTGGGAGGTGACATCCCTGGTGTGTGTCTGTGGCTTCTTCCAGAATGCGGTGTCTCGGTGGCAGAGTCCAAGAGCAGCAGCAACTTTGAGCCCCTCAGCAGCGCGTCGGCCGGCCAGGCCCCTGGGCTGGACACTCAGCCGCTGCAGTCCTCTGCCTCCCTCGACAGCAGCTCCGTCCTGCCCAGCCCCTCTACCTCCTTCCAGCCCATCAAGCCTGACCCCGCAGGAAGTGAGTATCTGCCCCCGTTTCGGGTGTTGCTCCAAAAGCACGCTGCTGGGAGCAAGGGAAGGGCTGCTGGCTCCGGAGGAAGAAGCTCACCTCCTCTCTGCTTTCACTGTCAGGCTCTGCAAGGGATGAGCATTTCCCTCTAGGGGTGCTGGGGAAGCCGGTGAGAAGGTGACTGTGTCATGTCGAGTGTCCTGACACTTCCTGTGGTGACACTACTAGAAAATGTGCGAGGGACACTCGCATGATGCACTCTTCTACTGTTAGATGGGAGGTTATTTCCTTTCGGTCCCTTCTGTCGTACAAGGTCCAAGCTATAGAATTTCCAGCTGTCACTGAGAGCACCTGTGTAACTCCTGGGGAGTTTTCCTTTATTCAGAGAGCTCTTGTCTCTCTTTTCCTCCTTTACTCAGGAATACTTTTATTTTTAGTGACCTTGTGGTCTTAATGATCTCGCAGTGTATATTTGCAGAGCTCCTTCGTGTGCTTGGTGAGATGAAAGAGACTTTACAATAGGAACATTTGAGCTTTAATGCCAGGAAAAATGGCAGGGTGGCCCAAGGAGAGCAAAGCATCCTCTGGATAAGACACTCTGCTTGAATTGCCCACCTTTGCTGCAGAAACTCTCTAGGATAGAGGGTTGTGGTTAGAAGAGGAAATCTTGCTCAAATAAAGTTCACACTGTGCTTTTTTGATGCTTCTGCTGCCAGCGTGGCTGAGAGAAGCGTGAATTATCTATCTTCGTCCTGGAGTAGCCTTGATGGGTGGGATTTGGCTTTTGGGGTGCCTGTGGCTCGTTGTGTCCCAGGAGGGCTCTCCAAAGGCAGGGCCTCATCCTGCACAAGATAAATCGAGGGGGTGCAGGGAAGCTGGCGCTGCGTGAGCCTTACACAGAGGCGATTACTCCGGAGCTGCTGACTCTGATAATGCATTCATGCCCTGGGGCTCCTACAGATGTATTTTAAAGTAGTTGAGTGTATTTGATTGCTTATCAGTTCAGCAGAAATAATGTGACATGGGGTGTGGGAGCAGAGTTTCTGGATGGCATAGGATGATTTGGGCACACGGGGAGTATGGTAGGACAGTAGGTGATTGTGCTGTAAAGCATTTCAGACCCTTCATGTAATAATGCAAACCGTTTGGTGTGCTGTATTTGCAGTACTGGAACTTCCCAAAGAGCTGTCAGAGATGTTTGATCCAACGAAAGGTACGTTCTCTCCCTGACCCATAGCTTTATTCTGTGCCCATCCACCCCGTGGGAGTGGTTGGTTTTATTCACTCCCTTTCGGATTATTTTGGGGTTGTGGTTTTGTAAGGTGCTTGTGGTCATTGGTGGCTCCTCGCTCTCTACTTGTAGTCAGGCACTCTTAAAATTACTGGTTTCTGTATGTATTTTTCTGACTTTATGTTGCCAGTACCCTCTGTTAGTTTGCCCTAAAGTGTGCAAATGAGGGCTTTCCTGTCCCTGTGCCAACACTAATCTCTGCTCTGGCTTCCCGTTCTCTTTCTCCAGCTTGTCTGCACTGTGTAAAAGCAAAATCCCTGTTAGTCTTGTTTCAGCTGTAGCCTGCCTGAAGCTAATCCGAGCAAATAATCTAGGGAGAGAGTCTTCTCTTCGAAATATCCCTCTGTGGTTTTGATGATGCTGGTAATTTTGGAGCAGTAGGAGAGGGGATGCTGTTGCTTGTGTTGGTTCTGCCTCTGCTCGAGGAGTGTCTGGGTGTCGCTGCCGAATGGTGGGACGGACTCTGGGCTGTGGGCAGGAGGGGTGAAGGAAACTCTCTGGGAAAACTGGGAAACTCTTTTTTTTCTGCACATTTATTTCCCTTCAATGCCAGGGTAGTACTTCCTAGCCCCCCAGCTAGGCAGAGCCAAGGACACACAAGCACTTCCGTACAACAAGAGTCCCTAGTTCCGTGCTCTGGCAGGTGCTTTGTGAAAGTCTTTGTGTAGAGACCCCGCAGTCCCAAATGCAGTCGTGCAACCACCTGATCTGTGTCCTGGGAGCCCCAGGCTCCACACGTGGGCTGGAGAACACCCTTCCTCCTTGCTCAGCACAGTAAATAAAGTCTTGGTGATGACTGAGCGCAGCTGAAGAGTAAATTTGATTGCACAACGTGAAACATAAACTGCAGCAAGGCCCCTCCCCGTGTGGAAGATTATTAGCTTAGCCCTTACTTAGCATAGTAGCTAACTACTATGGGACCACGTGAACACTATTAAAAAGAAGATGTTTGCTGTTTACTGGAAGGTATGTTGTTTTATGGAGTATTCTTCCCAATTTGGAGGGGGAAGGTCCAGGTCCAGGAGTGAAGGACAAACCAGCTAACAGCTACAGAGACTGGAAAAAGCAACACTACAGAGCTTGGGGAAATGGGCCTTGTGGTGAGCTCCATGCAGCCTCTTTCATCCCTGTGTGATCCCAGTGATGCTGCCCTGGCACTGGCTGCTGTGTTAAGACTATGCAGTTTAAGCCACAAGAGCCTGGAGTTCTTCCTTAGACTTCCTTTTTCTGCATGGTTTTCTCCCTCTTTTAAATGGGTGCTTAATAACTGCTTGTTTTAAGGTCTTATCCTGGAAAAAGACTTGAATTTCAACACACACATGTACACACCCTGCTGTATTACCAGCCCTGATCTAAGAATGCAGGTTCTGCATTTAATTGGTGTTTATTGAAGCTGGTATTTGTCCTGTTGAGTCCCTGGGTGTTGAAATTCTCTTGTCTCGTGACACTGAATTAGAGAGGTAGGTTCCTGTCCTCTAGGAAAGAGCCTGCTCTGGATAAACATCTTGAAAACGGCCTCATCTGAGTTTCTTTTGCAAAAGTCTATTTCAGGTGTGTGTAGTATCTCATCAGTCCAATTGGATCGAGTTAGATATTCACTACTTTACCTGGGTAGAGTGAGAAAGGTGTTCAGAAAGCTGTTTCCAAATGCTCAGCTTCTTAAAGAAAAGAGATTGGCTTGCACTGGCTTTGTCTGAGTGCTCGTCTGTTTACCCTTTAAGTGAACCTGCCAGCCAAGAGTAACGATGCTGGGGGAAGGAATGACATTTCAGAGATAATTGATTTTTTTACAGTTTTGTTTGGGGCAGCAGCTGGTGTGGCCGTGCAGGGGTAAGGCACAGCCCCTCACGTGAAGGAGGCTGGTGTATGGTTGAGCTAAAGCAGGTAGAAACCTGCAGAATATGTTGATGTAGTTTGAATTGTGTGACAGGGCTTTCCCTTTGCCCATGGCAGGACGTCTGCTGCACAGGCTGTGACTTTGGGATAACAAGGGTGAGGGCCAGATGAGGCTGGGAAGGGTGGGATATCCTGGGAAAGGTGGGATACTGCGCAGGAGCAGAGCAGGAAAGCAGAGTGCGTTGCTTAACCATGCTTGTCTCTTCTCCAGAATGTATGAACTCTGAGCTGCTGGAGGAGCTGATGTCATCTGAAGGTGAGTCTTTGAGTCTCCCCCTCATGGTGTGGCCTTTCTGGGGGAGGAAGCCCACACTGTGTGGCTTTACCCAGCTGACAGCCACGTGCCTGCAGAGTGGCTCTCATCTTTTCTGGCCTCAGGGGACAGGCTCCATTCTCGCTGTCCCACCAGTCCCTGCGAGGGACCAGAAGAGCCCGTCTCTCCCTTTCACAGGGCTGATTTGAAGCAAGCTCAGAAACTGTCACTGCGGGGTGGCCTCTTTGTGGCTCTGCAGCTCTGGGTTAGGTGTGGGAGAGCTGAGTTTTGTAACCAACCCTGGACTTCTCTTCCCCCAGTGTTTGCTCCCTTGCTGCGCCTCTCCCCTCCACCTGGAGATCACGACTACATCTATAACCTGGATGAGAGCGAAGGCGTCTGTGACCTCTTTGACGTGCCTGTCCTCAACCTCTGACTTCTCAGTGCGGCTGCGAGCCTCGCAAACACAGACCGTTTTGTAACTCTTTGGAAAGTGTCTATTTTTGGATTCCTTTTGTGCTAGAGCTCGACGAGCGAGCGATGCAGAGATGCTCTCGTATGGACTCAGAAGCAAGAGATGTGGACTCGCAGGCCGGGAGATGCCCCGTAGCTTTTTTTCCCTCTTCCTCTCTTGCACATGTGAGGTGTGAGCGCACCTTGCCCCGCCGCATCTCTCTCTCCACTGGATTCTTGGCTTTACTTCAAAGGGCCTGTGTTTTGAGTGTTCCCGGTTCACCCGTAGAGTTTGCCCACGTCCCCCTCCGAGCTTCCTCAAACCTGCATGCCTTGGTTTTTCCTGCACTCCTAGAGGCACTTTGCACCTCCTAGGTACCAGCTGCTACAGGGAGCCCCCATATCGTGGTCAGTTCACAAGCCCGGAGGTAGTTAGTTACATTTCTCAAGTGAGTGGTTCAGATTGGGGTGGTTAGTTCTGAGTGGTAATGAGGAAAAAAAAAAAAGGCATCCAAGTCTCCATTTCTTCCAGTGACTCCAGACCAAGCTAGTATGTTTTACAAGAAAAAGCACTTTTTTTTAGCCAGCTGTGCCTCCTGGTGGGACTCAGGAGTTGAGTGTTCCTAGTAGGACCCAGGAGTGGAATCTTTCCCTGCTTGTGCAGCAGCAGGAAGGCTGGTTCTGCCTTCACCCCTCTGCTGATGCATGAGCCCAGGGGCTCCAGCTCCTGGTGTGGCAGCTGTGCTCTTTCTACAGGGCTAAAGAAGAGGTGCCAGCATGGGGTTTTTAAATTTTTGTTTTTGCCTGAGTGAAGAGATGTTTGAAAGGTTAAGACTGCTCCAGCTGGTGCCTGTAAGGTACTCCAGGTACATCAGAGCCTGCTCATATTTGCGAATAACTGTCTTCTCCAACCATTGCACTTGAGCCTTCAACTGTCTGATAGGTGACCAAGCAGTAACAATTCAGTAGTACTTTGCTGTGACAAGTTATGTAGGTGTTGTCAAAGTAGTGCTTTCCCCCTCCCGCTCCTTTTTTCTGTCTTACCATCTGCTCGGGATCAGGCTTTCTGTATATTTGAATTTGCTCCTCTAGTGTCCGTACCTCCGCTCCCAATCCCTGATCCTGTGGCAGGTTGCTGCCTGGCGTGATGCTCTCTCTGCATCATTTTTTCCACGTTTTTCTTCATTGCTTTGTAACGGGAGGTCTGCTGTTGGGTTTGTTATGATCATCAGATGGTACCGGTTGTTAGGATGGTCTGGTGGTACCACACCCTGGTTAATTTTGTTGGAGCAAAACGCGCTGATGAATTCCTGTTATGTGTTGCAAGCCCCAACTTTGCTTTTCGGTTAGATCCTGTATTTGAGTGTCTTCAGTTTTGCAACATCTTCCTGCTGATGTGGTGGCAGCAGCCGTCCTGCCTTTTCCTGCTCTGCAAATTGGTGAAGGGAGAGCCAGGCCAGGAGCGTAGGTGGCCATTGCAGAGAGGGAGCTTGTAGCCACCTACGCGACCAGTTGATGTTTAACTTCTCCACCTGTGAACCACGCGACCAGCTGGAGCACCAGCACTAAGAGATGTAATATCTTCAATTCCCGGGAACCTGCAGAAGCTAGAAGAGAATGCGCTTGGGACCTGCATCCCTGAGGTGGTTCCTCAGGCCATCTGGTTCTGTGTGGGACTCCTCCAGAAGAGCTTGCTCCTCTCTGCAGCCCCGAAACACCGGTGTCCTCTTCGGGGGAAAAGCATGAAGAGTTCAGGAGGAACAACGGGATGCTCTCTAGTTGGGCAGCGAGACAGCCGTGGTGTGGGAACCCCCCCTGGGGTGACCTTCCAGCCCGCATGCAGCCAGTCCTCCAACCTTCCCTCCTCTGCATGGAAGCTCATGGAGCTCCCTTGGTCCTGCGTGTGTTGGGGAGCTCCTGGGCTTTGGTGTCGCTCCGGCTCTTCTCTGTGTACTGCCTTCACCCCCCTCCCCCCAGCGTTCGTGTTCGCCACCTTCGGAAAAGGATACCTAGAGAAAAATTTACAGTCGCGGATGAACTTTTGATTCATATATAAAGATTATTTTTATACTTTTTTTGCAAGGAGAAAAAAAAAAAATTAATTGCCTGTAATATTTGTACAGTGTTCTCTGACGTGAATAAACAAACAAAACAAACTTTCTGGAGTTTCCCCCCCCACTGCCCCGGCCTGCACCTCTGGGCTCTGGGGGGACGGGTAACGGCGAGGTGCCACCGTCCCCGCTTGTCCCGGCGAGGAGGTGGGTCCCACCGAGCCGGCGTCAGCTCAGGTGAGGGGGCCGGGCACGGTGGGGACCGGGCGGCGGGGCCCTCGGGGAGGCGGGGAGGCGTTGGCGACCCGGAACTGCGGGCCGGCCGGGGCGGGGAGCCGTGCTGAAGGGTGCTTGGGTGCCTCTGCCTGCGGGAGCCATGCCGCCGCCCAAGGACGTGGTGAAAATCGCCATCCAGATGGTGGGAGCCATCCCCCAGCTCATCGACCTCCAGCAGGTACCGCTCGGCACCCCCAAACCCCCCTGCCGGACCCCCTCTCCCCGACCCTGGCTGATGGCCGCCCTCTCGCTTGCAGACCAAGCCCCTCTCCTCCGTGCTCAAGGACGTCTGCGATGCGTGAGTACCGTACCCGCCGCCCGGTAGCCACCGGCGCTAGCCGTACTGAGTGCTGACCGGTGGCCACCGTGTCGCCGCAGGTGGAGCCTGCCCAACGCCGAGCACTACGCCCTGCAGTACGCGGACGGGCGGCAGACCTACATCACCGAGTCGGTGAGGCGCCCACCCGCCTCTCCCCGGCCCCCGCCGGCGCGGTGCTCGCCACCTCACCCCTTCCTCTCTCCCTACAGAACCGCAGGGAGATTAAGAACGGGAGCATTTTACGGCTGACCACCTCCCCGGTACATCCCTCTGTACCCCCCCAACCCCCCTTTCCTGGTCGTCTTCTCGGCCGCACGCTCTGGTGGGATGGCTCCAAGCTCTCCGCCGCTGCCTCACTCGGTGACTCCCGGCTCGTGACGGCTCCTCTCGGTGCCTCAGGCCCAGCAGACCTGTCCCAGCCTTCATCCTCCCTCGGCAGAGCCCGGGGGAGTTTGAAGAGAAACTAAATCATCTTGAAATGCTTTGGACGCGTGGGCTAACTCGTCAAACGTTCTTAGTCTTGTGCCGGCCTGATCTTCTTCCTCAGCTCCTTCTGGTCTCTTCTGTGGTGGTTCTGTCTCAGTCCACCTCCAGGGCTACTCTGGCCCGACCCTCCTTCCAAAACTTGTGCTTAAGTTCTTCCAGTCTTCTGCAAGCTTCTCGCTTGTCATTCTATGAGCCCCTTTGGCTTGATTCTTTCCTTCCTGGTAGGACCAAGAAGCAGAGAGGTTGTACAGCGGGATCCAGAGCAACAATGTGGACGTGAAGACTGACTCGCTGAAGAAGCTTGCGAGCCTCTCCCAGGATGTCACCTTTGCTCAGGAGTTCATCAACAGGAATGGCTTGAAACAAATCTTCTATATTGTGGAAGAAGGGAATGCGTGAGTATCAGGAGAGGACTTTTCTTGCAGTTCTTGACTTTCCTTCTCCCTTGGTAACACTGCATGAGCTCCAAGCTAGATGTTGGAGTGGACTCCATTCATGTTCCTGGCTTCTTGACCCCCGTGCTGTGGCACGAGGGGCCATGCTGGTGGCAGGGGCTGGGCTCTGCAGGTACCTGGTTGCACGCTGGCAGTGGGGAGAAGGTCCCCAGTGGTCTGGCGTCCTGGCTCCCCTTGTGAATGCACCCAGGCTTGAACCTCCCACCCCTTCCTTGGCCGGGTCATTTGCAGCCTCATGGGTTTTGCTGCCAGGAAACCTGTGATGATTGTGGCCTGTGCTGCTGCTGCTCGTTTCTGCTACCCCGGATAATCCCTCTGCCACAAGGTTTGAGCTGCAAGAGGTCTGCAGGAAGCTTGAGAAACCCCCAACTGCCAAATAGTGCCTGCCCAACTCTTTCAGGATGTGGTGGTGCATCTCCTCTGAGCCCCTATCTCACAGAGGATGTGGAGACCAACACCAGGCAGTGCATTGTGTGTTTCTGGGAAACAGGAGGAGGGATTTGGGGTGACTTGGCTTTCCTGAGGGCTTGTCTTCAGTGATCTTTGAACTGTGGTAACGCAGCTTTCCAGAAGCAAACCTCCCCTACCCCGACTTCCTGGGATGACTAAGCGAGAATCCGATTTCTTACCCAACCATTTCTCTTTCTTCTCCTGCTTGCTGCTCTCTGCTGTTCTAGCTGTTTTTAACGTACCCACCAACGTGCAGCTGTGCTTATGGTGATGACTGTGGGGTATCTGGACCCACCTCACTGTGTTTGCTCCTCTGTTCCTCCAGTACAGGGGAGATGCTAGCTCACACCCTGAAGGCCTTCATGGAGCTGATGGAACATGATTTTGTTTCCTGGGAGACTCTTAGTGCAGTCTTTATCAAGAAGGTAAGCGCTTTCTGCAGTCTCCACAGCCTGTGCCCCTGGGATTCCTTGTTGCCTTCGTCACCCGGGCTCAGCCTGGCGTTGACAGATGGTTTTGTGTCCCGTAGATAGTGAGTTACGTCAATATGAACGCGGTGGATGCGTCTGTCCAGCAGCTCTCCTTGTCTATCTTGGAGAACATGGTACCCACCAGTCGCCACCTCTTTGAGCTAGTCAAAAAAGAAGTGACGCTGGATCGTCTTCTCACCCACCTGCAGGTGTAAGTGGAGAGGCCAGAGCACCGATTGCCCCCACCCCAAAGCTGGTGGGGATGAGGCGATGGGGGTGATTTCTCTGCTTGTTGCTGGTTATCCCTGGCACAACATTGTATTGTCCCTTCCTAAACAAGGTGGGCAGCCTGTCCTGTCCCCGCTGCCGGGGGAGGGATGGACTGTCCCGTTTCCAGGTCAGATTCCTTCATTCATGGCCTGTTTTGTTCAGATATTTTAGTTCTTCAGCTAACCTGCCTTTTTTTTTCTGGCATTGGCTCTTCCCTCCCTTGCCCTGGTGTATTTAGGAGCAGTTGTGCATTCCCTACAACTTGGTGATGCTGTACTCAACACTTTGTTAAATCCATCAGCTAAAGCGGGTTCTTCCTTCCCTCCTTGTCTTTGTGACTCTGCAACTCTTTGGAGGTTTTTCTTTCTTATAAAATGGAGAGGCTCGTGCCCGGGGCTCCTACCAGCCAGGAGTCTGCTGCTCGCCAAGGGTTTCCCTCTGGCTCCAAAACGCCACAGCCATGGGTGTGTGCAGGGTCTGATCCATCCGTGGGTGCTCCACAGCCATGGCCGTGGGGACCTTCTCACCCCTGGCCCTGCTGTCAGCAGCTGCTCACTCATGGCTCTCCCCTCCTTGAATCCCCCAGCTCCGAGCAGTGGGGTCCAGCAGGGAAGCAGGGAATGATGGTCTTGCCTTGGGGAGGGTGAGACCACCCTCAGAGCTACTGACTCTCCTTATCCTTCTGCAGGACAAACGCCCAGCTGCAGCTGAAGGCCATGGCCCTGCTCATTGCACTGCTGCTGGCTGCGACCGATGCCGAGCGGCAGGTAAGGGGCTGCTCTCTGCCCACGGGCAGTAGGCAGGGCTGGGTGGTCACTGGCATTGTCATCATCATCATCCTGGGTGATGGTGGGGTGGTGGGTATGGCAGATCCAAGAAGCACCACAGTGCCACTGTCATGGGGGTGCTCTGCCAAGGTGCCTCTGCTGTCTCACACCCTCTGGGGTAATTTTGGGAAGATGCAAGATCTCAAATGACAGGAGAAGTATCACAGCTGCTGGTGGCACAGTGACCGTGATGGCCCAGAGCTGGCGCCTGGCACATCTGGGCCCTCATGGCTGGGCCACCCTGTGATGGGGCCTTGGGCAGCTGTAATGTTTGTGTTCTCTGGGATGGTGGGGCTGTGAGAGGTGCCTGGAGATGTTGAAAGTCAGTGTCCTGACTCTGCCTCTTCTTGACTGACACAATCTGTCCTGGCAGCCTGGTGGAACAGGATCCACTGGGGTGGGCTAGTCCTGGCTGTCAGGGGCAGTGGAAGCTGGGGCAGGTCTCCTGCTCACTGGTGTCCCTCCTGAGACTGCCAGTTCCTTTCTGTCCCCACCCTGCCTGTGGCCCAAAGCCAGGCGCAGCGGGGAAGTGGGTCTGCAGAGGGAACACTGGCTTTTTTTGGAAATCTGTGGTATGCTGAGCTGGGGAACGTCTCACAGCCTCTTCCTTTCCTAGGAGATCATGGACTACCTGAGGGAGAAGAACATCAGGCAGTTCATCCACAAGGTGAGGAGCTGTTGCTTCATCCTCTTGTCTTTCCTCCCCAGCCCTGTTCCCTCACACCCAGCCTGTGGTGACAGTGCCTGGCTGTGTTGCCTGTGTGCCCCACAACCCTTCCTTGATGCCCCCTATGTGTGCTGCTGACCTGGCACCCAACTGCCCAGGGTTGCAGCCCCAGCTGCCTGAGGTTCAGTGTACCCAGCTCTTGCCCTGAGGGAAGTTGTCCACTTCCTAATGTCCCTTTGAGTAGTGGGACCTGCCAGGGTTTGGCGGTTGGGTCCTGGGCTTGGAGGAACTGGGAACGGCAGCCTGGGGGAACCTTCTCACTGGTGGTCTCCTCTAGAACATCATCCACAGCTCCGAGCCGCTGGCAGATGAGATGGCCCATTACCTGTACGTGCTGCAGTCTGTCAGCCTCAACCTGTGTGAGCGTCGCATGAGGACCTCCATGGACCCCTACTCACAGGTCTGGGACTGCTCTCCTTTTCAGTCTGGCCCTGCTGGTCTTCCACTTGTGGAAGTAGAGGCGGGTGAAGGTTTGCCTTTGGCTGAACCCAGCACATTTGATTTTGTCATCAGTTTGTCCTGGGAGAACCACCATCCCCTCCTCTCTGCTCTCCCTGCAGGAACAGCGGGAGCTCCTCCAGTCTCTGCGCCAAACTGCCTTTGAGTCGGAGAGCGAGGCCGCTGCCGGCGCCTCCAACGCCGATCGCCGGCGATCCCTGTGTGCCAAGGAGTTCCGCAAGCTGGGCTTCGTGGTGCGTCCCCTGCCCAGCTGTCCCTGCTGATGGGCCACCATGCAGAACCCCCCTTCTGCTCCCTCAGCGCCACTCAACAGCGGGTGCTGCAGAGCTGCCGGGGCTCAAAAGGCAAACCCCACAGCCACGTCAGGAGGACTCTGCTGCGTGGAGAAGAAAGCAGTTGCTAAACACCATCCTTTTGTGTCCTCCTAGAACAACAGCAACCCAGCAGAGGACCTCCACCGTGCCCCGCCAGGACTCCTTGCCCTTGACAACATGGTGTATTTCTCCAGGCACACCCCCAACGCCTATAGCAGGGTGCGTGCTCTCTCCCGGAGAACTCCCTGCTGCTGGTGGATCTCCACCTTCTTTTCCATTCCTTGTGACCTGTCCTTGGCCAAACCCAGGCCAGGATATCCCTTTTGGGGCAGGTGTCCTACCATTGCCCTGTTTCAGATGGAGCCAAGTTCTCCCTGTGGGTAGGAGCAGCCATTTGAGGCCAGTGGAACTGAAGGATCCCCATAATTTTTAGTGTTTTGCCCACAACTTGGTTTCCAGGTGTTGTTCACCTCTGAGCAAAATGGGGCCATTGGGACAAAACCAGCTGGTGGCTGAGGAGCACCAGTCACACCCCGACCCACTGTGCCTGTGACCAGCTCCCGCACCGCGGCAGGGGAGAGAGGAGGACAGGGCTGGTGTTTGGGGCCAGCGAGTTACTTCTGTTAGGGGGTGGCTCAACTTGGGGGGGGACACAGCTGGCCCTCCAAGCTTGTGGCCCACGTAACGCAAGTCAACGACTGTCTCCCTCCAGTTCGTCCTCGAGAACAGCAGCCGAGAAGACAAACACGAATGTCCCTTCGCTCGAAGCAGCATCCAGCTCACCCTGATCCTCTGCGAGATCCTGCACATTGGAGAGCCGTGTATGTGTGTGTCCTTCTCCCCACGCTGCTGCCTCCCGGCTGGCTCCAGTGGGGACAACCTGCCAGGGTGGGGGGCTCCCTACCTGGGGGCACCAGGCTCTGGCATGGCTGACAGTAGGGGAAGAGGAAGGGAGGGCTGGGGAACGTCCAGACTCTCCTGGATGCTGAAATCACCTGGATAAACTGGGGAATCTGGCATCATCTGTCCTTCTCACCGCAGGCTCAGAGACGGCTCAGGCCTTTTACCCTATGTTCTTCGGGCAGGATCATTTCTTTGAAGAGCTCTTCTGCATCTGCATCCAGCTAGTGAACAAGACCTGGAAGGAGATGCGTGCCACCCAGGAGGACTTTGACAAGGTGTGAGGGGATGCGGGGTCCCCAGACGGGAGCTGCGTTCATGGGCTGCACACAAATTCAGGGGGTCTGGGGAGCATCACCCGACTGGGGGTGACGTCCTGGTCCCCCATAGGTGCTGCAGGTGGTGCGGGAGCAGATCACCAGGACCCTGTCCCTCAAACCCACCTCCCTGGAGCTATTCAAGACCAGAGTGAATGCCCTGAACTACAGTGAGATCCTGAAGCTGCGGCAGACGGAGCGGCTGCACCAGGAGGAGACGCTGGCTGTGCCCGTGCTGTGAGTGGGCAGGGAGCTGGAGCTGCGATGGGTGGGACGTGGCAGGGGGGGGTGGGACACGCTGTGGGGCTGGGGGAGGTCAGCCAGCACCTGCTGAAGTGGCTGTGCTCCTTTTCTGCTGGCTCTTGCCCCAGGGAGCTGCGTGAGAGGCTGAAGCCGGAGCTCCTGGAGCTGATCCGACAGCAGCGCCTGCAGTTCCTCTGCAAGGGCACCTTCTTCCCCAAGATCAGCAGCCGCCGCAGGCAGGGTGAGTGCCAGCCCTCTGCTCCTGGGAGGGGGACAGAGGCTTGTCCCCACGTCCCCTGCCACTGAGGAGGTCACCACTGGACCATGAGGAGCACCATGCCTGGCTCACTGGGTGGCTGGCATGGGCTACCCCATGAGGTGGAACCGAGCAGGGTGTGCTCCATCTCAGCGAGGGGACGCTGAGCATTTCCCGATGGTCCTTCTGTTGCAGACAAGCTCTGGTACTGCTGCCTGTCACCCAACCACAAGGTGCTGCACTTTGGGGATGTGGAGGAGAAGGTGCACCCTCCCATCGAGAGCCTACCAGAGAAAAGTAGGTGATGGGGAGAAAGAAGAGGGACGGGGAGGAGGGGAGTCCTCTGCCCACCCCAGCTGTGACAGGCTGGGGATGGTGGGAATCGCCCCTCTGCCTGGCCACAGCACCAGCTGTGGGACTGGGAGCTGTGGGGGTTCAGACTAGGGTGGGCTGGGTGAAAGGGTGCTGTGGAGTGGTTTGAGCCCCCCCCACCAAGTTGTAGATGGCTGTGAGCCCCCGTGCTCAGATTCTGAGCTGGGGAAGAGGAGAGGAGAGCATTCACAGCTCCTCCGCTTGTCCCAGTTCCTGTGGCGGACATGAAGATGCTGCTTGTGGGGAAAGAGTGTCCACACACGAAGGAGAAAAGCTCCGGGAAGCAGAACAAGGTCAGCACCTCCCACCCCGTGTTATGATGGTTTTTGGTGGTGGGTGGATGGTGGCAGGTTGGGTGGTTTCATGGACAGTGGTGGGTTTTTGACGTGGCTTGGGACTGGAGACCTCCTGGGTCTCCTGGAGCACAAAGGAGGAGCCTAGGAGGCAGGTCCTGCTTCTGAACTCTACTGGGGCTGGGAAGAGTCCAGCTGAGAAAGCCAGGTACCCACTGTGCTGTCCCTGCAGGATGTCCTGGAGCTGGCCTTCTCCATCGTGTATGACATGGAGGAATACTGCCTCAACTTCATTGCCCCCGCCCGGTACGAGGTGAGCTCCAGGGGCCTGCTAGGGAGACACGTTGTGGCCAGATGTCCTTCCCAGAGGACCACAAGCAGGGGAGGGAGTCATGTGCGTTGTCCCACTGGGGTGGGAGCCACAGCGGGGTAGAGGGGCTGCCCAGGGCTGGTGACAGTTGCCTGTGCTCTGCTTCCCCAGTTCTGCCTCTGGACGGACGGGCTGAACGTGCTCCTGGGCAAGGAGATGATGAGCGAGCGAACACAGACAGACCTCGATGTCCTGCTGTCCATGGAGCTCAAGCTGCGCCTCCTGGACCTGGAGAACATCACCATCCCTGACACTCCTCCTCCTGTCCCAAAGCCCCCCAGCAACTTAAACTTCTGCTATGACTTCAGCCAGGCAGAGCAGTGAGTTCCTCTCTCTGCCCCATCCTCCCTCTGCACCCCCCCCCCCCAGAATCCTGAGGCGTGGGGGGGGGGAACTCGCTTCCCCATCAGGGACCGTGGTGGGAAGTTGATGTCACCCTGAGGCCACCAGACTTGTGCAAGGCGCCGGTGGCCAGCTGGGGGGGGGAGGGGGGGGGACAGGGTGACCACTTCCCCTCCCTCCCAAATCGACCTCTTCTCCCTCTGACCCTCCCCCAGAATCAAACCCCTTCCTCCAGGCTCTGTCCCTCATCCCTGGCCCAAAGGGACAAGCCCCAGGTGCTGGCTGGGGGCTGGGCTGTGCGCTGCCTGCACCTTGCCTATCCTGGGGCCAACAGCCCCCCCCTTCCCTGCCTGTGTCCTGTCCTCCTGCACAAGCGTGGGGCTGAGCCACTGAGCGCCAGGCTCCTCTTTGAGGGGGTGACCCGGCTGCTTTACCCCCCCTGCCACAGGCAGGTGAAACAAAACACTCTCCAGACAGCCCAACCCCTCCATGGTGGCCTTGCCCCCTGCCCCGGCCAGGCTTTGGGCAGAGAGGGCAAGGATACAGGCAGGAATAAAGGGACAGGCATCCCTGGGACAGCTCTAGGGGGAACGGCGGTGGGGGCAGCACTACAAAGGTACGAATCTGCGCTGCCCCACTCTCCCCGTCAGCATAGGGGCTCCCTTCTGAGGAAGAAAAGGGTTCAAAAAAAGGATTAAACACCCTTTCTGCTCAGCTTGGTGAGCAGACAGCACCTCCAGAGCACAGTGTACCTGCCCAGCCAGGCCCCTGCCGCACTGAAACCTTTTCCTGCTGGGGTCTGTGTGCTCCTGCTCCTGGAAAGGGGGATTTAGGGTACAAGCCCCCCCTGCTACTGCCATTTCAGCCGGGCAGGGCTTTGCTGCTGCTGTGCCTGGTGTGAGGAGGAGGCTGTGGTCTGGTCTTGCCAACCCTGGTGCCTTCCCCCACCCCGGGCGGGCATTGTGCTCCTCAGGCCTTACTGCTGCACTACTGCACCATGACAAGCTACCTCCTCCCCGGCCCTCAGCCCGGGGCCCTGGACCTGCTCCGTGCCTACAGCCTCTCCAGCGGGTGTAGCCTCTGACTGCAGGTGGCCGGAGCTCTGACTGTGCCTCTGCCTCCCGTGTTTTGGGACAATAAACACTCGTAGAGAACTCAGAGCCGTGTTTTCACTGACTTTCACTGAATTTTTAGAGTTGGAAGGGACCACAGAAATCATCTAGTCCAACTCCCCTGCTAAAGCAGGACCACACAGAGCTTGTCAGAGCATGTTACTCAGGAGCATCCAGGAGGGTCTTGAAAATCTCCAGAGAAGGGGACTCCACACCCTCCCTGGGCAGCCTGTTCCAGGGCTCCGTCACCCTCACCGTGAAAAAGTTCTTCCTCATATTCAAGTGGAACCCTTTATGTTCCAACTGCGCCCATTGCCCCTCGTCCTCTCACTGGCAACTACTGAAAAGAGTCTGGTTCCCTCCTCCCTCAGCCCGCCCTTGAGATACTTGTAGGCATTAATAAGGTCTCCCCTCAGCCTTCTCTTCTCCAGACTAAAGAGTCCCAGCTCTTTCCAAAGCTTTGGGGGATGGGGGGTGGTCAGGCTGACTTTGGGCAAGACTGGGGCTGTGCTGCTGAGGTTTTGTTCCTGCTGCTGAGTGGAGGAGCAGGCACAGAGTTGTCACCTCCAAGGAAGTGCTCCAAGGGGCTACAGCTAAGGCTGTTCCCAGACTAGGAAGGTGTAGGAGCACTGCAGCACTAATAAGTTGGGCAGGCTCAGCTCCTGCAAGTGGGCCAGCACCTTTTGGGCTGGAAGCCTGGGGAGCATCATCCCGGCCATAGATGCTGTTAGAAGGGAAGGTGAGGTGGCGGAAGGCGGTCTCTGCCAGGCTGCTGCCCTGCAGGGCCAGGCTCTGCACCCCCAGCTCCTGCCCCGCGCCCCAAACCGCCTCCCGGGAGCCAGCGGGGGTACTGAAGCGAGAGCAACGCGGCTCACTTGGCCTCGGTGAGGCTGTGCGGGGCCGGTGGGGCACCTTCTCCTACGGGGCTGTACCTACGGGAGGGCCGGTGCCGGCACCCTAAACCCCTGGGCTGCGCTGCGGGGCCGGGGGAAAGGCCTCGGGGTCCGTTGGGGACCTTAGAACCCGTCCGGGGCCAGGGGGAAGCCTGCGGGATGCAGAGGAGACCCTGGGTCCCCCCCGTTCTCTCTCCTGAGGTAGGCCCGGGTCGCCATGTTCCAGGCGCGGCCACGCCACGTCCGGTGAGGGACACTTCCGGTGAGGGACACTTCCGGTGGCGTCCGGAAGCGGAGCGCGAAGCCGGCGCGGCCATGGCGGTGAGTGTTGGGGCCGGGGGATGCGGGCGGGTGGGGCGAGGGAGGCCGCTGACCGCCTGTCTTGGCTCCGCAGCCCAAGGGGAAGGCGGGCACCAAGGGCAAGAAGCAGATCTTCGAGGAGAACCGGGAGACGCTGCGCTTCTACCTCCGCATCATCCTGGGGGCCTCGGTGAGCGCGGCCGGGAGGGCCTGGGGGGCGGCCGGGCCGGTGTGGCGGGCTGGGCCCGGGCTGACAGCCGTGCCGTGCTCTCTCCTCAGGCCGTCTACGCCGTGGTGAACCTGGTGATCTTTTACCCCGCCGCCTCCGCCTGGACGTGGGTGAGCAGCCGGCTCCTGCCCCGGCGAGGGGCACCCGGGCCCGGTGGAAAGCCAGGTCTTTTCCCGGTTGTGGGGACAGGCGAGGCCAGCAGGGCCTGCCGCTCTGCCCCGGGTGTCGTGGCTTTTGCGGCTGACAGCTGTTCCCTCGTTGCAGCTAGCCTTCGTCTTCAGCTTGGTGGTCTACGGCACCAGCTACCGGTCCATGAACTCCATGGCAAAGCCGTCTTTCACAGACGATGGCAGCCTTGCCGACGGGGGAATTGACCTGAATATGGAGCAGGGGATGGCAGAGTGAGTGTCCACACCCGCACGAGTCCCAGGTGAGCAGGACCTGCTGCCTGAGCGTGCACGCAGAGCTGGGGAGCCCCCTAAGGAGGAGGCCAGGCCTCAGCTCCCACCTCAGCTTGCAGGCGTGAGGGGAGCTGGGAGCCTGTGGCCATTTTTTTTCCCAAGAACGTACCTAAATTGCTCTTGTTATCTGAATGCCTGCCCCAGTGTGCACCAGTCGCGAGCTGCCACGTGGGTATGTCAGCCTGGAACAGTCACTCTGCTTAGGGCCAAGGAGATCCCAAACGTTTGAGCTGGAGCAGGTTAAAAACCTTTCAGTGAAGAGACAGCACCGATGCTGTGCCTGCTGCTGCAGCATACAGAATGTATCTTTTCTTTTTAAACTGCTGCTGCAGGTAGTGCTTGACAGAGCAGAAGGGCAGGTGCTGCTGGTTACCCCATCCTGGCTGCAAACTGGCCATGTCTTCAACTGTTCTACGCCCTAAAAAGCCTCCCCTCCGTCTTAGTCCTTCCTCTCACCCCCTCCCCCTGTGCGTGTGCGTTCCCCATCTCTGTCTGCAGGCAGCGCCGGGTGTTTCCCTCTCTGGTGTTCTTGGTGGCGCTGTAGCTCTCTCTCCTCTGACGAGGAACACACAGCAGCAATCCCTGCAAAGCGGTGTTAAATGGAATAAGGAGACAACAGTATGGAAACAGCAGAAATATCATCTAGATTTACCTGTTTTCCAACAGTGAGCCTCAAAAGTATTTAAAGAAACCTGCCTGGCCGTTGTGGGCACATCAGGCTTTGCTCTCTTTGCACCCCTGTGAGAAGGTGTCAGGCACAGCTGAAGCACCCACTTGCAGACATAGTATTTCCCTTGGTGCTGAGGTATTTCTGCCTGAGCAATACACTGTTGGGGTGAGGTTTATGACACATTAAAACTAATTGATGCTCACCCAAGGCACGGGCTGTGCAAAACACAGCACAGCTTGAAGGCAGAGCTGTGAAAACACCTGCACAGCTGAAGTTCCTGCCCTTATCCTGCATCTTTGTACTTGGTTCTGTGCAGAGCTCCCAGCCGGGAGTGCAACCTCTTCGTTATTTGAACCCTGCTGGTATGTGAATGCAAAGTGTTAACGAACGCCCGGTGCTCCTGCCACTGGCTGTGTCTGTTTGTCAGGTGAAGGGCTCTGAATTACCAGTTTGGGGGCCGGGGAACAGCAGATGTTTCCAGACCTTTCAGCTGAGCGTGCCCCAGCTGATGAATGCCTGCTCTTTTGGAGCTGTTTCTGGAAGGCTGCGGGTTTGACGGCGTCCCCCTCCTGCTGTCTGGGACTGAGACAGATGCGGTGCATGGCTCTGGGGTGAGGAAGGGCAGCCTTGCTGCTCGCTGGGAGAACTGGGTTCGGTGGGAGCTCTGCGGTGACCCCTCTGGGGCCTCCTGTGATGCATGAGATTTCTGAGCCTCGGTGTCCTGTCGTGGACCTGTTGGTGGTGGGTTCCACAGGGTCTGGAGTTGATGGCGATGTCCCAACCTAAGCCAGTTGTTTCCCGTGATGAATACCTAAAGTTACTTTATTTTGTGCTCTGCTGCCCAGAATGAGACAACCTGTTTCATGACCATTACCTCTGCCTTTGTTTTCTTGATTCCGATCTTGGACGTGACTTGAGTGTTTCTTCCTCCAGCAGACGATGATTTAATGGGAGTGAAGGAGCTGGCATTTTTCTACCCCATCTAACGCCCTCCCCGTGGTTAGTGTTGAAAAACCTACCTCTCCTGGGTGTCAGGCCCCCCCCAGGGTGGTGGCTGAGGTGTGGGCAGCTTGTCTCTCTCCGTGGCTGCTCTTGGTTCGGCCGTGGAAGACCCCGGAGTGGGAGAAGCAGGAGGGGTGGAGGAGCCATCTGTTGCCGTAGCTCAGTTTGTGGGGGGATGGTGTTCATGTCCTCGCAGCACCACAGCCCTTTGGTGACCCCGAGTGTGTCCGTCGGCCTGTGCAATGTCACGGGGGAGATTCCTGCTTCCCTTCAGCGCTGCCGGCCGCGAGCAGCGATACTTTATACCCTGATATGTGTCACACCAGCGGGCGCTGGCTGCTGTTGCAGGCTGCGAGGGCAGTGGGTTTGCTGCCCCATTTCTACTCCCCAGCGTTCCTCAGCTTTCCAAATGTCCCCTTTTCAGAGGGAGCCCAGCTCTTTAACTCGTCAGATTTTGATGTCGTTGTTTACTGCTCTGATTCTTCTAGATTACCATGTGTGGCAAAGCATAGCTGCAGGGACAGTCCTTCTGTCGGGGCGGGCAGGGTCACAGCCCTGCAGTGTTGGCAGAGGAGCTGGTGTGTGTGGCGGGGGTGGGAATGGGAGGTTCATGCTTTGCTCTTCTTCCCTCAGGCACCTCAAGGACGTGATCCTGCTGACAGCGATAGTCCAAGTGCTGAGCTGCTTCTCGCTCTACGTCTGGTACTTCTGGCTCTTGGTAAGTCCCTGTGGTTTTCCTTGTTGTGCTGTGTTGTTCCTCTCTTTCACTGTTGTCGGAGCCAAGGATATTATTTATCCATTTCATTTCAGTGTCCTTTTTCAGGCCCAAACCATCTTGTCATATATTTTTTGATCTCCCTTGTTAAAAATGAGACCGTACAAGGGAAAGAAGTGCTGACCCCCTTGAGTCAACCACACAAAAACTAGGCTGGCCTTGGCCTTTCTCTCTGGTCCTGTGAAAGAGCAACAGGAAACACGAGGCAGATCAAAGCCATCTTTTTGCATAGAGCCTTTTTGTGACTGTGGCAAAGAGACTCTGCTTCTTGTTAGGTTTTCTCAGTCATTCACCAGCAGGGACTGAGGCTGGGATCTGGTGCACACTGTGTGTAGATGAAACGCAGTGGGCTTTGATTTCCCCTTAACACACCAGACTCTTTCTGTTCCTGAGATGTTTGTCACGTGCTTCCAGCTAAAACTGCTTTGGAAGAAGGATGAAAAATACCGCCAGTTAAAAAAAAAACAAAACCCACAGTTGCTTTGAATGTCCCACCAAGGTATATAAAGCAATCTTGGGAGTGTAGAAAGTTCTCTCGTTTCAGTCCTTACAGGTTCCTCCCGAGCTGGCTTGGCCGAGGGCAGCCTGAACTCTGCCTGTCCCCATCCAGATCCCATTTGTTTTCATTTAGAGAAATGTGGCTGGTTTTTTTTTTTTTCTGAAGGAGGGAGAGGCTGAATGTCTGGGCAGTTGGATCTTTCTGGGTAATTCAGACCTGATGCTGGCATTTCCACATACGAAGCCCGAGTGCTGCATACGTATGCAAGTTTCTAAACCCTATGAAATCAGGCCATTTATTTTGGACGCCGCTTTTAATTTCCGTGCGTCCTGTGATGCCCCTGATCCAGCCCGTCAAGATATTCCAGCTCCTTCAGCTTCCTCAGTAGAATCATAGAATTGCCCAGGCTGGAAGGGACCTCCAAAGGCCATCTAGTCCGACCCCCCCGCAGTCAGCAGGGACACCCCCAACTAGACCAGGTTGCCCAGGGCCTCGTCGAGCCTCACCTTGAATATCTCCAGGGAAGGGGCCTCAACCACCTCCCTGGGCAACCTGTTCCAGTGCTCCACCACCCTCACAGTGAAGAACCCTCTCCTCATCTCCAGTCTAAATCTGTTCCCCTCCAGCTTGAAGCCATTGCCCCTCGTCCTGTCACTGCAGGCCTTTCTAAACAGGCTCTCCCCAGCCTTCCTGTAGGCTCCCTTCAGGTACTGGAAGGCTGCTATTAGGTCTCCCCAGAGCCTCCTCTTCTCCAGGCTGAACAACCCCAGCTCCCTCAGCCTGTCCTCGGAGCAGAGGTGCTCTATCCCCCTGATCCTCCTCGTGGCCCTCCTCTGGACCCGCTCCATCAGGTCTATGTCCTTCTTATATTGAGGGCTCCAGACCTGCACACAATACTCCAGGTGAGGTCTCACCAGAGCAAAGTGGAAGAACTACCTCTCTGGACCTGCTGGCAACGCATCTTTTGATGCAGCCCAGGATGGGATTGGCCTTCTGGGCTGCAAGTGCCCACTGCCTGCTCATGTCCAGCTTCTCCTCCACCAGCACCCCCAAGTCCCTTTCCTCAGGGCTGCTTTCTAACACCTCACCCCCCCCAGTCTGTGTTGATGGTGAGGATTGTTCCGGCCCAGGTGCAGAACCTTGCATTTGCTCTTGTTGAACCTCATGAGGTTCACCTGGGCCCACCTCTCCAGGTCCTTCTGGATGACATCCCATCCCTCTGGTGTATCGACATGTTCACAGTAGGACCAGCCCCCCTGACCGTAGCCCCCCCCTCTGCCAAAGCTGTCCCTAAAGTGATTGTGTTTGTGCCACACGTGTTCTGCAGGCTCCGGGACGTGCTCTCTACCTCCTCTGGGTGAACATCCTGGGGCCCTGGTTTACCGCTGACTCTTCGCCCGCTGGCCAGGAACCAAATGAGAAGAAGCAACGCCGACAAGAACGCCGCCAGATGAAGCGCTTCTAGCCCTGGCTGGGGAGGTAGATTAACACCCTCTCTCATCTCCGTGCTGGTATTTCATCAGAGATGTGACCGAAACCAACCCGAAACCATCGCAGTAGCTACGTTGCCCTCTGTCGTTGCCGCCGTTCTGCTGGAAGGGCTGCAAGAGACTTCCCTTGCTTGGTTCTTCGTGCCAGTCGAGGCCTCGCTCCCTGGGATGACGAGGGGGGGGTGGTGATGCTGGGATGTCTGTAAATACCTTTTTAAAGCGGCGCAGTGTCACGGTCAAGGTTGGGGATTGCGACGTGGGAGGAAATAGTACATTAAAGAGCAGAGTCTAGTTGACCGTGCTGGCAGTGTGTTCGTGGAGGGCTGCTCGCAGAGGGGAGCTCTTAAAAAATCCCGGCATTTTATTGGAGACCTGGACCAGCAGGAGGCAAAATTCCCCAAGAAAAGTGGGCTTATTCCCTCCTGAGCTCGCTCTGTGCTGCCCTGTGAGACAGGGAGTGTGGGCAGCTGGGCGTGCTGTGAAATGGGGCTTGTAGCCAAACTTGGAGCCGTTGGGTTTGAGCCTGGGCTCTCCGGAGCCGTGTTTTGGCCTGTGCTACCTTTGCAGGAGCTCAGCAGGATGAAAGGCTGGGGCTAAAGGAAACAAAAAACTAAATCTGTGTTGGTTTTTTTCCCCTTTTTTCTTTTAAATCTGCTCTCCCAGGGGCAGCACAGCTGGGGTGCCAGGATTGCTGCAGAAACCACGTGTTAAAAAGCCCGGAACAGCTCGGGGCAGCTTCTGCTTTCGCCTGCTTTGATTTATTAATGTCCCCCCTGCCCACTGTGGTGTGTTACACGCTCTGGTGACCCCTTCCTGCTCCTGACGCACCAGCTCGCAACCATGCGGGATGCCCGGTGGGTGTCCACAGGGGTCCCAGCCTGCCCTTTGACGCCATCCACAACCTTCTGTTTCCATTACATCGTTTTTATTCCACGTTTTTTTCCTAACATCCAAGCCCGATCTCCTGCCCTGAGTCCTCCTGTGCCTCTGAGCCTGGCAGGGTGGCTGCAGTTGGGGTGCAGAGCGATGGTTAATTGTGGGCAAACATCTAGGAGCTGGGGGGGTAGGGGGAGAGCAGAGCAGAAATTGGTATTTTGGGGGCAGGAGGGGTTAAAGTCCTTCCTGCTGCTGGTGAGGGAAGGGGGAGGGAGTGGGAAATGCACATGGGGAGCGATGGGTGGGTGGGGGCCAGCCCTGATTCCCTGCACAGAGCTCCCAGCCCCATCTGCAGGCCCTGAGGAGGGGTCCTCGCTCTGCTGGGGGGCACCCTAAGGGCACCCCTCTCCTCCCCTCTCCATCCCAACCAGCCCTGGGGACCAGCGTGTCCCCCCCAGCTCTGCCCTTGCTCCCCCTCACCCCTCTTCTCCAGCTCCCCGAAGCCACGTGGAGCCGCATAGCCCTCCCCAAAAATACACAGGGGATGGTGTCTGGTGGGGGGGGACACACACACATCGACACGAATC